GCGGATCCCCTGTGGGGGTGCGGTGGGGATGGGGGGAGCTGATCCCCTGTGGCGGTGCGGTGGGGACGGGGAGGAGCTGATCCCCTGTCGGGGTGCGGTGGGGACGGGGAGGAGCTGATCCCCTGTGGGGGTGCGGTGGGGACGGGGGGGAGCTGATCCCCTGTGGGGGTGCGGTGGGGACGGGGAGGAGCTGATCACCTGTGGGGGTGCGGTGGGGATGGGGGGGAGCTGATCACCTGTGGGGGTGCGGTGGGGATGGGGGGGAGCTGATCACCTGTGGGGTGCGGTGGGGGATGAGGTAAAATCCCCACCTTGTGCACCTTTTGCCTGCAGTTTGGTTTCCGAGAGGTTCTGGAAGCGGGGCCTGTGGGGCACCGAGCAGCCGCGCACGTACAGGGGTCTCTCACCTAGGGGTCCTGAAGCTGCTTTGGGGGAAGCTTATTTCGATGTAATTTCCAACCTTCGGGAAAGTTGCAGGGAGAGGACCGGGAACCCCCGTGTGTGCCTGTTAAACGGATTCCCTGGTTTCTACATTTGGGCCTGTTCACTCACGTGTGCACACCCTCCCCTTCTACGTAAATGAAACTTCTTCTGACCCATTTGAGAGGAAGTCGGTGGCCTCCTCGGTCTGGTGTCCTTCCTAAGAACAGGGACACCGTCTCACATAGTGACCAGATGGCTGTCAAGGTCAGGACGGTTGAGGACAGAACCCCACCGCCCTCCCCCACACTGCAGTCACATCTCCACCCTTGTCCCCACATGGCCTGTTACGGCATATTTTTAGCCCAACTGAGGATCCAGCCAGGATCACCGGCCCCACTGAGCTGCAGGCTCCCTCTGCCCTTCTTTGACCTTTGACCTTGACATTGGGAAAGAGCCAGTGGTGTGAAGAGTCCTTCTGTTGGAGGAGCGCCTGTCCCCGACCGTGTGGGGGTGGGGGGTGGGGTGACAGGGCCGCCCCCACCCTGGGCTCACCCTGCCTCTCCCACCCTCCCCAGGTGCAACTCTGAGGTCAAGTACGCCTCCGAGAAGCACTTCCGGGACAATGTCTTCTATGCGCCAGTGCCCACGGTCACGGCCTACAGCGAGACCATCGTGGCGGCGCCCAACTGCACGTGGCGCAACTACCGCAGCCAGCTGACCCTGGAGCCGCGGCCCCGCGCCCTGCGCTTCCGCTGCACCACCATCATCTTCCCCAAGCATGCCAGCAGCACCTTCCGGACCACCCTGCGCTGCAGCCTGGGCCGGCCCAGATGCTGGTTCACCTCCAGCGTGCAGCTCCAGCTGTACCAATACCCCCGCCTCCTGGGGCCCGCGGCGCTCTGACCGGGTGGGGCTGCCCACCCCCAGCCCCGGCAGTGACCTTGGACTGGGGGGCCCAAGGACGGACCCCGTGGCTCAGCCTGGAGCTGGGGCAGGAGGGAGGTTGGGGGGGCCCGTTCCGGTGTGGAGGACCCCGTAAACACGTTTTGTGAACAGTGAGCGGGTGAGGCGGCATGGGCATGAATCCATGAAGGCTTGCGGGGGGCTTGCAGCAGGTGGGGGCCCACCCGAGGGTCCTGGGGAGAAGGCGTGGGTCCGTGGCGGGCCCTTAGAGCGGAGAACAGCTTTGGTTGCGGGGGCTGGTGCAGCTCCTCGAGACCCCGGCCACCCGTCTGTCCAGGGCTGGTGGGCTGGCTCCCGGGCCGTGTGCGAGGGAAGAGGGGTGCCCTCCAGACACCCCCACTCCTGGGAAGAGGAAAGTGGGCCTTCCCCTGGGCGCGCAGCTCCGCTAGAGGCCCGGGCTGAGCGCCCTCTGATGGCGGCTGAGCCGGGAGGTGGGGCAGAGGCCAGCGGCTCAAGCCAGGGTCAGAGCTGGTAGAGACCTTGCCTGAGCCACTGGCCATGTGCTGGGGTGGATTTAGGGTGCAGCCCGCCTAAATTGAGGCCTTTGAGCTCTGTGTCGGGAGCCTGGCCCCCAGGGCTAACCTCTGTCCACGCAGCCTCTCCAGAATCCGGACTCTAGCGCCAGCGCCTTGGTGCCTGGTGCCAGGGGGAGGCGTCGAAGCTCTCAGAATGTCCGCCGTCACCTGCGTGCGGCTCGGGGCCCAGCTGCTTAAAGAGACGCCATCGGGGTGGCTGCCCTGGGTCAGCCGCCCGGCTCCCCATGTCGTGATCGCCCGCGTGCCGTCCCCCGTGCCGTCCGGGTGGTGCCAGGGCACGCGGGGGAGTAGGGGCCACGGTCGGGTGCTGCCCTGGACAGGCACCCCGAGACTCCCAGTGTGGCCTTAGAGGGGCCCTCTGACCTGAATGGACCCAGTGGGCAACGGGGCTGCCCTCCCACCCCCTTGCTCACCCCCAGGACCGGGGCAGAAAGGCTCTCCCACACGGTGGGGGTGGGGGTGAGAGAAAGACCCGGAGCCTACGTCCAAGAGAGGCAAAGCGCCTGGTCTATTTTCATGTATCTACACACGGTGCCTGTTCTCTCCGCAGAGTCTGATGAACACAAATAACTTAAGAACTTGATGATCTTAATAAAATGTGCAAACCCAAGGGAGCTCCCTCTTCTGTGTTTCCGAGCCCCTCGGATCCCGTGGGCTGGGGCAGGTTTTCATAGGTACCTGTACTCTGTGGACACCCCACTTTTTGCCACCCAGCCTCCCCTTGGCCTCCGACTGCCTACAGGCAGGAGGGACCTGACCCTGTGCCCGGCCTCACCCAAGAGCTAGTGAGTACGCAGACACCCGGCCCCACTGTGGGACGTGAGTCCGGGGGTGGTTCTGGGGTGCGGGGCCCTGGGAATCTGCATTTTTCGGTGCCCAAATCCTTTGTGTTCTGGGTCGCAGCCCCCGGCATCGATGGGCCCCGGACAAGGGTCCCAGACACCTCTGCCAAGAAGGTGGTCCCAACCCATGTTAACACTTGTTTCTCTCCATCTTGTCCGTGTTTCTGGAGGCCCCGTCGCCAGTGCTGCCAGGGGCCACCAGGATAATGGCCTTTGCCATTATCGGGAAGTCAGACTGGCCTTTGCCCCCCTGGGTCTCCGGAGCTGGGCAGGGCAAGTAGGGGTGTCTTTTGACATCAAGGCTTTTTGCGGGAGACAGAGCCCTCCTTCGAGAGCTGGGTCACAGGAGTACAACGGGCAGGGACGTTTGTGCCTCCTGAGGTCGCGGTATGAGATGCCGGGGGCGGTCAAGCTGTGCGGGCTAACCCTACAGTGCCCGCCGTGCCCCGGAAGCTGTATTCAATTTTCCACGTGGTTTCACTCCGTTCAGCCGTAACCTGCTGAGGTGGGCATTCCCGTATCTCCGTTTTACAGAGGACGAAGGCACAGACAGGTTAAGCCACTTGCCCAGGTTCACACAGCCCGTGGGAGGCAGGGCCAGGATCTTCACGCCTAACGAATTCACACGCACAGGCTGGACAGCAATCGCGGCGCTGATCCGTCTGAGCCACCTGAGGGGGACGTGGGTTGGGTGTCCTGATGCCTGAATCCAGCGACCTTGGAGGTGTCCCTGGGTTGCCCTTCAAGATAGAACTTTGGAGGCGAGCAGGTAGCTGACAGCCTCGGGCGCGGCTTTCCAGCCACGGGCAGGACCCTCTGGCACGGAGGGGAGACAGGTCAGACGCGGGCCTCGGAGAGGAGAGCGAGCCTGCACCTTCACTTGGTGTGTCCCCGAAAGTCGTTTTGACCACATGGGTAGCTTTTCCTTCCCTAAGGACACCAGCAGTCCCAGACTGCTCCTTGCATCCAGGGGCACAGTGAGGCCCGACCGGAGGGGAGAAAGTGGGGAGCAAGGGCAGCTGCCCCTAAGGCCCCCGAGGGCTCCCCAGTTTTCTCGGGGACACAGAGGACCTGGAGGTCAGGCAGACGGCGTTGCCAGTTTTGTCCAGATCCTCGGGATTTCCAGCCCCCAAATGAAGAGACTGGAAGGGTCTAACCCTAACCCCCCCACACCCCCCAGAGGGGCAGATGTCGCTCACAAAGTCCCCAGGGGACAGGCCCAGTGGCTGGAGAAAGCGTGTCACTTAACGTCTCTAAGCATCTGCCAAATGGGCTCACGGTCTTACCTCCCAGGCTGCGGGACGTGAGAATTCGCGCTGGTCTGGCCCCTGCAGCAGGGGGGCGAGGGGAGGCTGGCCCCAAACAGCCCTCCTGACCCTCCGCTGGGGTCACTGCTGCCGGTCTCTGGGTTCACGCTCACAAGCCCCAAATCAAACTCAGCAGCCTCCCTCCTCCAAACGGGCATCCCCACCATCTGGATCTACACTGTCCCGTGCTGTCAGGGGTGACCCCTCGCTTCCGGAGGAGGTGAGAAGGAAGGACAGTCTGTCACGGGGGTGCCATGCCCTCCCGGCTTCCCGGAGGGTCCGTCAGAGTGATGGCCATGCCCCGCCTTCGCAAGGACAGAACGGCCTCCCGCCAGCGGCCGGTGACCTCCGTCTGCTCCTTTATCTGTCAAACCCATCCTGTCTGTCCCCTGCCAGGTCCCCCACCCGCACAGGCGAGCAAGCAGTGTTCTCTCCAAGAGAACTAAGATGCCACATTACCCCATTTTACAGAGGAGGAAACTGAGGTACAGAGGGTCCAAATGACTTGCAGGGTGAGGATGGAGCCCGGCGGCTGGCCTCAGGCTGCCCCTTCCCCGGGGGGCTCTGGCTGCGCTGCCCCCATCCCGCTCCTGCACAGGGCCGCCTCACCGGCTTCTCTCTCAATCCACCCTTGCAAACTCCTATCACCCTGATTTCAGAAAAACCAGCAAATTACCGTGTTGGGTCTCCTTCCTTCTCAGAAAATCCCGGGCCCCCACACTGACCTATGTGTGGCCACCCGGGGCTCCCAAATCTCCCTGGTTGGGTCTCACCTCCCAGCTTTGCCCACACACTTTCCCTCCATTCAGCCCACCCTCGCTCCAAGAGCTACCTCCTCCAGGAAGCCACCCTGACTGCTTCAGTTATCACAGTATCTGCATCACCCAGCCCCGGGAGGGCTTGTCGTGAACCAAGCCCAGTGCCTTGGGGACCAGTCTGTTCCTGTCCCCGCTGAGGGCTGCAGAGAGCTTCTTGTGACCTGACTGGAGACCCCCTGGCCACACAGAAGGAAGGAGGCAGGCTCCAGGCATGGGTCAAGCTCCGGCCTCGGGCACCCACCCCCGCCACCATGTGGGGGCCGCAGACCACCCCATCAGAACCCCTCGGCTGTGTTTTGAAAATGCAGATTCTCGGGCCCCACTCTCGACCTACAGACGCATATTCATTTTTTCTAGCTGGGTCCCAGGAATCTGCATTCAGCCCTAAAACACAGACACTTAACACAGTCGCTGGGGGGCTCAGTCAACGACAGGGCTGGAAAGGAAAAACATGAGCTCTGCCCTTGAGGGGTTCTGCCCGATTTGAGACACAAAGTGTGTTATCAGATACCAGGGGGGACAAGAAGACGGAGAGTGATAAGGAGTTCTTAGAGGAGGCAATGCCCCAGCTGGGTTTTGAAGTGTGTGTAGGAGTTTTCCAGGGAGGTGAGGTTCAGGGAACACCACAGGCCTCCGCTTTAAAGATGGAACAGTGAGCAAACCGAATAAGACCGGGGTGGAATGAAGTCTCTGAGGGTTGGGGACTGGCTGGTAGCCTGGAAGATAGGGTGGGTCCGCTGCAGGCACCAGGAGGCCGTGAGCTCTGCCTACGCCCTGCACACGCCTGTGTGGGGTCTGGGCCACTGGCGCTCAGAGCAGACAGACAGAGGTGCCAGATGGTGTCAACTCTGAGGCCATGGAGCCGCCGGGGCTGGCGGAGATGCCCATGTGGGTGGAGACGTGGGGTCCCGCCCCATATCCCTCTGGTCTGACTGCAGCCGAGGGAGGGGCCATGGGACCCTGGATAGCACTGGCTTGTGTGGCCAACCCCTGGTGGCTGGTGTGGCCACCACCTGTGACCTGTCCTGGACTCCAGATGGGGGTGCAGGTCTACACCAGGGGTGGAGGGAGCCTGTGGCCAGGACAAGGGCCTTGGCTGGCTCGACACTGCCACCTGCCCTCCAGCCTCAGTACTGCAGCCCAAGTGCCATGCTGAGCCCTGGGGGGGACCCAAGGCCCGCTGCCACTGTGGGGGGCACTCGGACTGTCCCCAAGGCTACACAGAGCATCACCACACCGTGTCGCACACCTTGCCCCACAGCACAGGCTTGCAGGATGGACTCAGGGCGATGCACAGTGCCAGGGAGGCGCCTGGGCGGTGTCCCCCATGCACTCAGACACTTCCTCCACCTAAATCCTGGGACCCCCAGATACCCTGAGAAGGTGGGATGCTGGCCACCTGGGGACCTGGGCACCAATCGTGGAGGTGGGGCAACGGCCGCCTCCAGAGGACCCTGGTTCTTCCCTTTGGGCCGGCCCAAGCCCTGCTGGGGGCCTCTAATATGCTGGACGGGGTGTCTGGCAAGGGCAGGACCACCCCCTACCACTGGCCTGCGGCCGTCCGTGCTGGCTAGGCCCCGTCAGAGTCCTGGAAGCCTGGGTCCAAACTGAATTAACACCCTCCCCTTGGCCAGACACGGCGGCCTGTTCACAAGTCGGCTGGGCCAGGGTGGGCCCCTCTCTGGGTATTTGGGGGTGTCCGTCCCTGGATGGGCCAAGGGGCCAGCAGCCCAGGGCCGGGAGGCTGAAGGACAGGGACAGGGTGGATTCCGGGACCACGACACCCAGGCTTTGCATGAGGAGCACCCGAGGGCCCACGGCACATGCCGTACGTGTGCCAGGCCGGGGGGGGGCGGGGCAGGGACGACTCCTGAGTGCCCTTCCAGAATCAGGCACCCGGCCTGGCAGCGGGGGCTGAGATTTGCACCTGTGACCCAGCACCGGGCAGGGCGTCGAGCTTTGGGCCAGAGTACGGAGGCCGCAGCCCAGGCTGGGGTGACAGACGTAGCGGCCACTGTGGGGAGGGGTGGGGGAGGAGCCGCAGCAGGCAGGGGAGGGACCGCCCCCGCCAGACTACAAACAGCTTCCGTCAGTGGTGATGAATCCAACTTTCTGGAACTCGGGGCTCTGCTTGCGCAGCGCGCAGGAAGCCAGAGCGGGACACCCTTCAGAGACGCTCCAAGCAAGCCCACAAGAGGCAGCCCGGCTGCTGAGGGCTGTTCTCATGGCGAAGACAGCAGTGGCAGCAAAGGGTCTGCTTCCCGACACGGCATCGGCAGGAGTGACACCAAACGTCTTTAACAATCAAGGACTGATGACAGCCGTCTTGAACCCACGTGGGTGCCCTCCCCCGGTGCACACAGCCGTACCTTCCCCGCACGTGTGACTGCGCGACAGTCACCCCTGGGTAGGACTGATATCCTCACGGTGAGAACAGGCACCTGCGAGGGGGACGAGTCTGGCGGTTTTAGGGGGAATGTTTCCTTGCCCTCCAGGGTCACACCCCCACCGTCCCCCAAGTCCCCGGTCGCCTGCCTGGTGACTGCACAGGCCGAGGCAGAGAAGGAGCCTTCGTAACTTGAGTATATTTCGCTTTTTAATGAGAACAACGTGTGTAAATGACAGAACGCCACCGCCGTGCGCAGATGGCGGTCACAGAACACCCATCAGATTCCTTCTGCCCGAGGAGGGCCGGGGGGGGGAGGGTGACGGGCGCTCACGAGCCGGCAGCCCCGGTCCCCTCAGGCCCACGGACGATGGGCTCACTGACTGGCGGCCTGCACACGCCCCTTGAACGGTAAGCAGAGATGGAAAGCGCAGCAGCAATAATACTGGGTCAAGTCCTTCCTTGCGTAAAACATCTGAACTAATTCATCAAAGGTATCAAAAATATACCCTGTAAACCAACACATCGCCTACCCCTGCCTTTCCTTCCCGCCGCGGCCGCCGCGAGGACACAGTCCAGTTCCTCGGGGCCTCTGCTCGCCCCAGACCCCGCCCGGCCCTCTCGCCCGCCCATCTGGCCTCACTGGGCTCGCAGCGGTCTCGCGGACTGGGGCGGTCCGTGGGGACCCGGACGGGAGCGCTGGGGGCTGGACAGGGCCTGTGTCCGTCTGTCCAGAGCGGTAAGGGGGATGGGGACGGAGGGAGGGTGCGGGGGCTTGCTAGCTCAGTTTAGACTTTGGTTCCAAATGTGTTGGGGGAAGGCGGTGGCGCGGGAGGTGCGCGGTCGTCCTGCTTTGGGTCCCTGGCCGCCCCGGCTGCGTGTGTGTGGCCATCGCACACCGCCGCGCCCCCTCCCTGGCCCGTCCCCTCCCGAGCACCAGGTAAACGTCCCCTGAGTAAGGTCACTGCACAGGGCCAGCCCGGGGCGGGGGTCGTAGTTAAGGCTTTAGACAGGCAAGGATGCCGGCTCTGGACGGATGGACTGACAGGTGCGCAGGCAGACTCAGGGGCTCCTTCCTCAGTTGGGGGGGGTCGGCAGCTGCCCCCTCCTTGCCCGGCTGCTCTGGCCACTGGCTGGGCCCTGGCGCCGCCCCCCCAGCCCGTTCTGACGGTCACTCGCTGTCGGAGAGTGTCTCGTACTGTGAACAGAGCAGTGGCTTGGGCTCCTCGTCCCAGGCGTGGTGGGGACCAGCGAGGGGCCCACTGCCCGTGGGGAGTCCGGGTGGGGGCGGGGAGGCCATGACACCCGCCTGCAGCCGCATGATCAGGGGGTTGTAGGGAAATGGCGTGGAACCTGCCGGAAAGACCAGGAGAGATGGCCGTGAGCCGGGCACCCCCAGGGGCCCACCCACCTACCACGCTGGGGACTGGGCCTCGGCCTCCCCCAGGAGACCACTGTCCCAGCGCAACTCCCGCGAGCGGTCTCCAAACGCCACCTCTCCCACTGGACCCGGCCACCTGTCGCCTGGACCGGAGGGGCCTCCTTGCTGTCCCTGCCCTTGCCCCTCGGGTCTGTTCTCTTGCAGGCACTTTCCACTTAGAACCTTCCAGGGCCTCCTCGTGCCCACGAAGAAAACCGGACTCCCCGCAGCCCGCCAAGCCCGCGGGATCGGCCTTCTACATTCACTTTCTGCACCTGTCGTCCTCTGCGGTCAGGGCCGGAGGCCAGACCATGCGCTCTGCACACAGTGGGTGCTCAGGCCGCTGGCCAGGCCCACTGCAGATGCTCCCCCACCACCCAGGTGACCCGTGCTCTGAGCTGGCGACAGGGACAGGCCGCCCAAGCGCCACGCCCTGCTGCCCACCTGCGGATGAGGGCCGGTCCTCCCACACGCGGTTGGTGAGTGGGGTCCGGCGGTTACAGTCCCCCTCCGAGTGCACCGAGGAGACAGAGGGCGGCCGGTCCCCGGACGCCAGGCCCGGGGCCGGGGACTTGGCTTTTCGGCTGCTGGGTCTGCCAGAGACTTTGGCCTTCCCACCACCACCTGCAGAAGGACACACGGGACGGGGCCACATTGGACTGTGCGGACGGCCACTCACATGGCAGGGGGAGGGTGGGCGAGGGGGGATCTGAGGGGGGTGGGGGAGGCCCTGGCCACCTGCCTCCCAGTCCCCCCACGGAGGAGAGAACAGCGGCCTGGCCCCGCTGGGAAGCCAAGGTCGACCAGGTGGGCAGACCCAGAACCGAGCCTGATCTTGGAGGTGGGTTTCTACTAAGAAAGTGGGTTGAACTACTTTCAAAGCCCCCCTCAGGCTGCCCAGATGCCCACCCCCCCACCCAGGCACTGATCCCAGCGCGAAGCCCCAGGCCTCTGGCTTGCCCCTGACCATTGCCCCAGGGCTGCCCCAGGGCTGGGAAGGCTGCAGACCTTCGGCAGAGAAGCCAGGGCCCCTGAGGCCAGGCCTGGGCCCCCCTTAAATCCAGAAGCTTCCTGGGAGCAGACTGTCCAGGTGAGACAAATGGGTCTGAGGGCTCCTTGCTCAGCCCTCGTTCAGACACGCAGTGTTGCTCAGGGCCCGGGGCAGACAGGGAGCTGGCACAGACCCCACTCCCCTCCCCACCAGGTCCCAGGCCACCGGGTACACACACAGTGGCCCCAGAAGATATAGAGCCAATGGGCCTGGCTGCTGCGAGCCTGGGGGACCCCCTGACCCACGCAGAGGTGGGTCCTGGCTCTAGAGCCCGATCTCCCCCGGAGACACAAGCCGGGGACCGTGTCTGGCAGGGGAGAAGGCAGGGCAGGGCTCGGACAGCAGTGGGTGTGCTTAGAACAGCAGCAGCTCCTTCAGCCCTAGTGGGCGGGGGAGGGGGGGAGGGGGGGCTGGGGCCGTGCCCGCCCAGCCTGGGATTAGCCAACTCCAGAATCACGGCAAACACACACACACACACAAATAAGGTCACAAGCTCCAAAGCTGGAGGGTGTTGGTCAGAGGAACGCGGAGGCGCGGGATTAATGACACCGGGAGGGGGACGGACGGGGCGGGTGGGGCTGGAGGACCGAGGCGGGGGAGGCCTGCAGACCTGGCGAGGTGAGTGCGTGTTCGCTCCGTCCGTCAGCAGCGGTTATGGGCATAGCAGCGGGCAGGCTGGCACTGGCATTCAGAGGGTTAAAAGCATTGGCGCTGAGCGGGGGCTCCTCCCACTGATCATATTTACCCATGAGCGCCTTTCTAATAATGGCCTCCAGCCCCATGTTGGTGCTGGCATGCTCCTGCACCGCCTGGCTTCTGCAGGTCATAAGGCCTGGGAGAGAGACACACACACACAGGGGCCCGGAGGGGCCGGGGACAACGGAGAGGGGGAGAGAAGCGGAGAGAGGGAGGGGGGAGGAGAAGAGAGAATACACAGTGAGCACATTTCAGCAAAGCAACATGTTTATTGCCCTATCCCCCCCCCGTACTTTCCTGCAGTGGTGATCGGGGTGGGGGGCTTCCTCGGACTCCGGCCCCAGGGGTTGGGGGGGTTGGGAGGCGAGATGACTGCCCCCCCCCCCAGTTTCTCCTAGTCTGTGCTCTGGGAAATTGGAAGCCCCTTCTGCCCGCTGAATCCCAGCCGGGACTGTTTTCTTAAAATTCCAAGTGGCTTAGGGAAGGTGTGCGTGTGTGCATGTGTTGGTGCATGCGTATGTGTGCCTGTGTATGTGTGCATGTGTGTGCATGAGTGTGCCTGCAGGTGCGTGCACCTGGGTCCTGGGGGCAGAAATCAGAGGGACGCCCTTTCTGGGGACACACAGCTAGGAAACCAGGGCGAGCCAGAGCCTGGTACTGGGTGCAACGGGTCTGCCCTGGGCGCCTGGGGCTGGCAGGGAAGGGGACCTCCACGAGGTCTGGGACCCTCACCCACCCCCCCACTGTCCCCCCAACCCCACTGGGCCTAGTTCTCCTCCCCCGATCTCTCCCTGCCTGGGAGCTATGAGGAGAGAGAGGTGCAGAGACGGACGGTGGGGGGGGGGTGGCAGCCATGCAGTTACGGTGCGCGCGGGGGACAGGGCAGAGCTAGAGACCAATGTGTGACCACCCCCAGCCTGGCCCCCTGGTCACCAAGTGGTCCAATCAACAGACTGGTCCCAGAGAGGCCCCTGGGGATGCCCACTGCTCAGCCACGTGGATAATAAACCGGTTTTCATCCACCAGGGACTCTGCCTTTCCCGTGTTCCTCGTGAATCATTCTGGGGACTTTGGCAAACCCCGGGGGTGTGTGCACCCTCAGCATCTCTGTGAGACCAGCGGAGCCCAAGCCCTTCCCCCACCCCCGCCTGCATCCTCGGGCACTGTCTGCATGGATTTTAACACTTCCACTCTGGCAAATCAACTGTATGAATACCAAGTGGCCAGAGAACGAGTCTTTCTGACCCCCAACTCATCTGTCAACTACACTAATGGCTTCTGTGAGGCTGGGAACAACACAGTGGCTTTAAAAATCACATTTCTCAGGCGCCTGGGTGGCTCAGTCAGTTAAGCAACCGACTTTGGCTCAAGTCAGGATCTTGTGGTTTGTGAGTTTGAGCCCCGCGTTGGGCTCTGTGCTGATGGCTCAGAGCCTGGAGCCTGCTTCCGATTCTGTGTCTCCCTGTCTCCCTGCCCCTCCCCTGCTTGTGCTGTCTCTCTCTCAAAAGTAAATAAATAAACATTTAAAAAATTCTTTTAAATAACAACATTTCTGAGTAGCAACCGTTTGCTTCCTACATTTTGTTTTTCTTTTCTTTCTTTTAGCTTCAAACTTGTTCACCGCCAGAGACACACTCTCCGCTTTTTAGCTGTGTGTTGGCCCCGTTTTCATTAGCATTTCAAAAAAAAAAAAGGTGGAAAAAGACGCCACGTTCCTCAGGAAAAAGCAGGAGTCCTGGCAGGGGTGCCCAGAATCCCCATGCAGGGAACACACTGCAAAGCAGGAAAGCTGACGTGAGGAGCACAGGCCGTGATGGCCTCTGGGTAGACGGGCATCCCAGCCACCACAGATGTCCCCGAGCCTTCCACCCGGGGTCACGGGTCTGCGATCTGGCGGTGCCAGTCAGGCAGGAAGCTTGACCACCTCCAGCTGCAGAGGAAAGTCCGACGCAGGGGCTGAGCCGCAGAGACTGGGGTCCGGGGAAATTTCTGCGTGTGTGATCTAAACCGCTTTAAAAAAGGCCACGCTGAATTTATGTGGAAGTGTCAGCTGCACCACTGCATGGGTTTCTATGCACATGCACGCCTGCGTGTTTAGTGCCTACGTCAAGATTTGGAATGTTCCGGAAACATTCATTTCTAACCATATTGTTGGTTCGACCAAACTGTCTCCTGCCTGTTGTCCGAGGCAACACAGGGGCTGTTGAGCGAAGCCCCCGTGTCTAGTCTCTGGGTAGCCGGGCGAGCCCCGCTTAGAGGCCCTGATGACCCTTTGATAAAATGGTGGTCTTTTGCTCACCACATCCCCAAAGCTTGAGGCCCCTGGTGGCCCCAGGGAAGGCTGGCCCAGGTCCCCGCTGCCCCTCTGGCCTCAGGCTCTCACTGAAGGACCAGAGCACAGCCCTGCAAACCCCCCTAGACAGAGCCCTGTCAACGGAGGCGCCAGTCCCGAATCCGCTCCGGGCCCAGTCTCTTCACACCAGACTCCCAAAGCCACTTCCAGAAAGCCCCACCATGAAGCAGCAGAAACACACACCGTGGCCCCCACCAGAGGCTGGGGATCCCACCCCAAGGATCCCCCCAAGTCCGAAACACCAGGGTGGGCTGAAGTTTTAAAAATGCGTGTGTTTTCACCCATCTCAGTCACACGTCTTCGTTGTTCCCTCAGCTCCCCAGGTGCTTGGAGTTTTTGAGTCAAGCTGTTGCTCTCTCTACGATCGCTCCCTGGGGGACCCTGAGCGAGCCCGCCTACGCCGAGTACATGCCCACACCTCCCACTCGAGTCTCCCCCCAGGCCTGGCAGGGGTGGGGATGCAGCTTCCAGACAGGTGTGTGTGCGCCCAATTCTGTACAAAACACACTGGAGACCCCGCAGGGACCCCAGGGCAGACTCCCCGCAAAGCCCTGCCTTTTGTGCGAGTCTGTATCCCCACTGCCAGGTTCTTGAGTCTAGAGGGAGGGACACACCTGAACTACGAAAGGACCCCTGTCACCATGACTATGGCTGGGGTGAGGGCCCCCGTGGCCTCCGAGGGTGCACTCCTTGAGCGTCCTTTCAGGCCCTGCATACCCAGCCTAACCCCCCAGCACGTAGCCCTGACGTGAGCGGGGGGGGGGGGGGGGGGGGGGGGAGGGGCAGCGAGGAGGGGCCTGCAGTGACTGAGGGGAGGGATGGGGAGAGCAGGGAGGGGGCCTGCGATGATGGGGGGAGAGCGGGGAGGGAGCAGGGAGAGCGGGCAGGGGGCCGGCGATGATGGGGGGAGAGCTGGGGGGAGAGCGGGGAGGGGGCGGGGAGAGCGGGCAGGGGGCTGGCGGCAGTGTAGTCCGGACTGGACGGCTACCTGCTCCGGTGATGGCGGGCATGTTGAAGATCTCCGTTCCGGGCTGGCCGATATCTGGAGAGGCAGGTGACAAGATGGGTAAGGCCTGCGGGCCCACAGGTTTAGGAAGTCACCCACCCCAGCACTGTCCCTCGTCTGGTCTGGGCGATGTGCACCACGTGGGAGCTTGTTCCGCGTGCACAGAGCAGCAGGTGTGGAGACTGCGTCTCTAACCCGCACTGTGCTAAGGGGCGGGGCTACGTTAGGGTTTACTTCCAGTAACCAGGTAAACGGGTAGAAAAAAATCCTAAACACGACAATGAGTGGTATGAATGGGGGACACACAGGGCTGGTGGGTGGGGAAGACCCCAATCCCTGGCTCCCAGTACGGGGCTCGGCACAGACCCGTCCATCCAAGTATTCACCGAGTGCTTGCTGAGTACTGGGCGCGGTTCTAGGTGCCGCTTCTACCGGCCAGCAACTGCGGCAGAGCCACAAACCATCCGGGGCTCTCGGAAGGGGCAGCAAAGGGCCAGGGGGAGGGGAGGCCAGGGCTACTCTGTGGGCTTCCCGCACTGCACTGGCTCCAGCCGCACAGGCCCTGCTTCCCAGGGGCTGGGCTTGCCGCTTACTGTATTCCGGCTCGTTCCGGTTGTGGGTGTTCAGCTTCTTGTTGATCTCCTGCTTCTTGGACTTGACCATGGCGGAGTTGCTCTCGGTCAGTTTGCTGAAGAAGGCCGGCGGCTGGCTGCTGTTGCCTGGAGATTTGGAGCCCATTCTGCTGTGGGGATCAGAGAACCCAAGTTGGTTTAATCAGTGTGGAGCTTGCATATGTTTGACGATGGGGTGCTTACTTCCTGACCTGCCTTAAAAATTCAGAACCAAGCCTTTCCTACCCCATACCCACATCTTTCATCTCTTAGGGACCACAGCTCCTAGAATCTTCCCTGTAGTTCACCTATTCCTGGGCTCTGGGTGTCTCTGGGGAGCCCCAGCTGCTCTGCTGGGCCATCCCTGTCTACAGTGTGGCAGGGGCCTGGCCCGAGCCGAGAGGTGACAGTGTGGCAGGGGCCTGGCCCAAGCTGAGAGGTGAGGTCCCCGGCACAGGAAGCTGCTGTGGATGCCCCTCAGGCTCCAACCTCTGCTCTGCAGGTCTGAGGTCTCTCGGCCGCACACAAAGGCCCTGTGGATCCCCGACCACACGGCGGTGGACCAAGGCCAAGGGTGGCTGAATCACGAGCATCCGGGGATGGGGTGGGGTGCCACGGAGGTACCTGGGCTCCACCTGGTCCCCGTCTCGGTACAGCAGCGGGTACATGGTGCTCCGGGGATGCCCGGGCTCCGCCATGCCCTCTGGTGGGGACACGGGTTCGATGGCGTCCTCACTGCTGCCCAGGGCGGACGTCTTGCTTGGCTCTGGAGACCTGGGCAGAGAGGGACTGTGGTCAGAGTTCAGCGTGCTCTCTCCCGAAATGCCGCGGGGACGCGTCCCTCTGTCCATCCCCTCCTAGCTCTGGCCTCCTCTAAATCTCTCTGCATGGGCTGGACAGCCCGTGAGGCTCTGAGGGCCACTGGTGGCCTCCGCTGTTTCTTCTCTTACAACCTTTTAAAAATGCAAAACCGCCTTTAGCGCAAGGGCTGTGGGCTGGATTTGGCCCTTGGGGGGCAGTCAGTTGACCCCAGCGGCGCCCCAGTGTTCCCCCAGATGTTCTGCCCTCCCACCCCTGTGCTTCGATCATGTGGTGTCCCTTCCATCCTAGAACTGGGGGCCACCCGTGCCTCTCCAAGCCCCAGCGCATCTGGGGGGACCAGAAGTGAACACAGGGAAGCTGTGCTCAGAGCCCTCAGCTCTAGTTTGAATCCTGGCTCTGCCACTTTCAGGCTGTGTCCCTCCAGATGAATGAATTCGCTTCTCCATACCCTAGTTCTCTCACCAGTGACATGGGGACGATACCGCCTACGCTTCCTGGGGTTGTGGGGGGCATCCCGGTTAACACATGGTGTCCGGAGCCCACAGGGTGTGACCAACATGTCAGCTACTTCTATCAGCACCCTGGCCTCGAGTAGACCGAGTGCCACCCCCAACCCCTGCTTCCCTGAGCCTCAGTGTATCATCTGTGCAGTGATGCCAGCGCACCTTGCACTTTCCTGAGCTTGGCCCTCCTACAGCAGACGCCTGACAAAGGCGTCCCCTGAACAAGGGTCACCGGCCCCCGACACTCACCTCTTGCCCCCCTCACTGTGGGGCGAGCCACGAGCTGGGGCACCGTGGTCCGGGGGCGGGAGATAGAGATCGCTGGGTGGGCGGCGCAGGTCCAGGACGGGGCAGCTGGCTCCAGGGAAGGAGTAGAGGGGGGCCGGGAGGGGTGCGCTCAGCTGCTGTGGGTGGTGCCGCGTGTAATCCTGCGTGATGACCTCCTGCGGGCCGAAGGTTGTGGGACAGAGAGGTGCAGGGTCAGGCAGCAGTCCCCCACTGGAACCTCCCCGGTGCACAGTGGCTCAGCTGGGCTTTGGGGACAGAGCCGGGCTAGTGTGGTTCTCAGCTCCCTGAGTGTTTCAGGCCTGCCCACAGCAGCCTCGGCGTCCCCATGTGCACAGGGTGGGGGCTCTGTGTCAAAGTAGCGGGCCCTACGCCAGCCGGGGTCCTCGGGCAGCATACGAAAGTCATGGATCACGGGCTCATGAACCCGGGGCCCCGTCAGCTGGGTGAGGGGTGGCCACCACAGCGGAGTTTGAGGCTCCAGAGTCCCTGGCAAGCCCGCCCTGGCCGGCCCTAAGTCCCCGGTGCAGTCTCCGGGACTCGGTCCACCCACCAGGCCGAGAGGCTGCGTGTGGCCCTCCCACTCCCCTGGGGCCGCGTCCCTGCCCAGGGCCGGAGGCAGAGAAGGGGTAGTTACACTGATGTGCTGGGCCAGGGTGACCACTCTCTGGTGACCTTTGACCCCAGGGGTGGTCTGGAGCAGCGGGCTGGACGACGGCTGGCTCTCAGGCAGTGGCCGCAGGTGTGGGAGGTGCGCAGCCTCGCCACCGAGCTTCCCAGGGCCTGCGGGCAGAGAGAGCCAGTCGGGCCGGGTGGCCCCCGAATCCCACCCCTGCCCTCTGAGCCCTGGGGCTGGGCCAATTCCTCCACCTCCAGGGGCCTTGGTTTTCTTGCGTCTGTGATAGGCCAATGGCTGCCCCTGTCTCACAGGGCCATGCTAAGTGGGGGGTGGGGTGCGGGGTGAGGTGGGGTGCGGGGTGAGGTGGAGTGCTACCTGGCTGCTTGTGCCGCAGGTCCCCCTCCAGGTGGCTCTTGTCGAGCTCCTCAAGGTGCTTGGGGAGCCCCTTGTCATGGGCCAGGCTGGGGGAGCTCACGGGGCTGACGGGCTCCACTCCATCGGGGCTGTAGCTGCCGCCGTGGTAACCTGCAGCGGGCGAGGCCCCAGGTCAGGCCTGTGCCGGGACCGGGGGCTGCAGCCACCCCACCCGACCCACTGAGCGCCCCCCCCCAATAGAAGGGGGCCACGGGCGGATGGAGAGAGGAAGTGAGTCAGAGCAGGGATTGCTGGTTGCAGGAGTGGGGGTGCATCGAGAAAGGGGGGAGATGGGGTGGTGGAGTGAGAGAGAGACAGATGGAGCAAGAATGCAGATGGACACACAGATAGGTCAAGATACTCCAACCTAGGAACAGGGGGAAACACGGACCCAGACAGTGGGGGTTGTGGGGAGGATGGGTCTCCAGGAAAGAGGGTGCAGAAGTGAGATCAGGAGGGAGTGGGGAGACAGGGAGGGACACTCAGGTCCCCGCAGCCCCCGGTCCAGCAAAGAGGAACCCTGAGCAGGGGCCAGAGGTGGCAGATGGGGCACAGAGTGCCCTTCTCCCTGGGGATGCTAGGTGGCAGGTCAGCAAGGGCACGAGGAGCCGGGGCACCCCCGAGACTCCCTCATGGCCTGGGGCAGGACACAGGGGTGAGCACCTCCCGGAGAGCGGGGCGCTCCCCTCCTCTCCTCGCTCCTCCCGCAGTCTGCCCCGCTGGCGCCCTCACAGCAGACTCACCCACGCGGCCGCGGCGGTAGCCTGAGCCCCTCTGCAGCCCCACTCCCTGCTCCCCAAACACAGGCTCAAAGGTTGGGACATGGGAGGCGCACTTGAAGTCAAAATCACAGATCCATTCATTAAAGGAAAAAAAGTGAAAATCAAAAAAAAAATCATGATAAAACAACGTGAAATGATGAGGCGCCCCCAAATCAGAGGGGGTGGGCGGCAGCTTGAGGAAGAGTCGTCAGAGCGTGCAATCGACGAGGACGCGTTCAAAAACAAAATACCAAAACCAACGTAAAATGGGGGGAAAAAATAAAAAGCAGAGATCTGAAAATATCTTTAGGCCACAAGACGGGGTGGGTGGGCGGCGGGGCCGGAAGTCTTACCATCGCGAGGGGAGTCGTTGGCCAGCGAACCTCCTTCTCGCGGCCCTTTATCGTGAGCAATTTGACGCATGATTATCGCGTCTATGAAGGTGGCCGCTGTCAGGGTGGTCTTACCCAGAGAACGAAGCTCCAATTCCTGGATGGAAAAGGGTTTACTTTGAGTCTTTTCCCGGTGCAGGTCCGCAGCTGAGGCGGGCGGCGCAGGCTGGTCCGGGCTGGCGTGGTGGGGTGCGAGGCTCTTGGCTGGGGTGCGGGCGATGGCCGTGTGGCTGGAGCCGGGGGGCGCCAGGGGCCGTGGCTCAGAGCCCTTGCTGGGGGAGGAGGAGGGCTCCAGCCCAGAGCGGGCCGGGGGCTTGGCAAGGAAGGTGTGGCCAGCGTCGGCTCGGGGCCGCTCAGGCCGGGCGACCCTTGGGGCCTCCTTGGGCAACAAGACAGGCTCCATGAGGGTGGGGTAGACCCCGTCGAGGGTGCCACCCAGAGGACAGTGGGTGGTGGGTGGGAATGTGGCGGCCGGGCGGACAGGTGAGGAGGTGGAGGTGGACCTGGGGAAGGAGAGAAGGCGGTTAGGGCATTGGGAAGCCCCCGCTTACGGGCCCAGAAGGCCAAGGCAGGGTTACTCCCTCACTCCAGCACCCTGACAAGTCCCCACTGCGCACAATAAACCCGCTCTCCCGACATGGCCTTACCCACCCCACACGCATGCACGCACTCACTCACTCACTCACGGATTCATTCATTCAGTCTGTCGTTCCAAGGCTTCCTACTGAACACCCATGACGTGTCAGGCACTGTCATAGGCCCTGTCCTAGGTGCTGCTCTAGGTCTTGAAGGGTACAGCAGTGAACAAACCAGACAGCACCCTGCACTCTGGTCGAGCAGACTGTACCCAAGTTAGCAGAGAAGTCAGACATGCTCAGAGTGTGGGATGAAGTCAACACGACAAGCTGGGGTGAAAGAGAATGGAAAGAGAGTCCCGAGCACAGGAGGAAAGGCAGGCACTACAGCTACAGGCAGGGCAGAGGCCCCAGGGGGCAGGCGGTGTGGACAGTTCGAGAATGGAAGGAGAACAGGAAGGCTCTCCAGAACCAGCCCCCCCCACCCCGACACTGTTCCTCTGGAGAGTCACATGCCTCTTCCTTCAAGCAGTCTTCCCCGACTGTTGCCTGGTCTAGGCCATGAGCCCCAGGAGAGACTGGCCGGGAAGAAGGGACGCACAAACGTACACTCTGATCTTCACGGGGTAAACGTAAGTACTCCCCACTTTGCAAAGGAGGACACTGAGGCTTGGCCGTGAACTGGCCCAACTCCAGCCCTTGCAGCTTCTCCGTCAAGCCCAGTGTGTCCACAAGGACGTCCCCTTCCCTTTGCTAACCCTCACTCCAGCTGCCAGTGGGGATGGCTCGATGGCCGCATGACAGCTTCCGCGGCCTGCTGCTGGTGTGCACAAACCACTGGCCTTCGTGCCAAGCAGCGACCTTGCTCTGAACATCCGGGAGCTCCTGCTTCCTGTAACCGCTGTGTCCTTGAGTCAGTGAGGACAAAACCAGGGGCATTGGCAAAGTTGTCACTTTTCCTAATTGCAACTTCGGTTGGAGGGTGGTTATGATTTAGAACAGCCAAATGGGGGGAGGGAGTACTTGTGTGAACGGAAACTTCACCTTGGAAGGAGCGCCTGCCTCTAAACTGGACCCTGGGTGGGGGCGGTGTCACCAGACGGGACCTGACCTGGGCCCCCTTTTGTGAGTGACTAGACTCTGGGGGGCACACATGGGGCCTGAGGGGACTCTCTCATCTAACAAAACCCCTAGGTTTTGTCCAGGCAAGATGGACACCATCCCCTCCCTATAGGGCCCTGCTCAAGTCTGGGGAGGACCAGGAGAGTCTCGCCCCACAGTGCTCTCTTACGTGTCCCTCTCCCTTCCACAGACTAGCCCTGAACCTGACAAGCTACCCACCTACTCATCCACCCCCGACCCAACTCACCACCTACCATCCATCCACCCACTCACCAGACTCACCATCTACCATCCATCCATCTACCTACTCATCCACCCACCCAACTCATCATCTACCCATTCTTCCACCTACCTACTCATTCATCCATTCACCCAACTCATCATCTACCCACCGAATCCAACAGCCATCTACTCATCATCTATGCATCTATCCATCCACCTCCTCGTTCAACCACTCACCCAACTCATTACCTATCTACTCCTCCATCTATCCATCCATCCATCCATCTGCCTACTCACCTATCTCACGCAGCCTACATTCATTCAGTTACCCACACACCCATCTATTCATCCAGCTCCATCCGTCCATTCATTCACTTATCTAACCCAACTACCCACCCATCCACCCACCTACCCACTCATCTAGCCCAGCCACCATCTACACAACACCCACCCACCTATCCATGTCTCTCTCCATGTATCCAACCTAACCCAATCACCCATCCATTCTCCTCCAAAGTACCTACCTGTTCACTACCCACTCATCTCTCACCCTCACCTGCCCTTTCCTCCACCTACGCATGCATCATCCGTTCACCTGCCTGTCCATCTGCCCTCCTATCTCCTATCCATTTACATGCCATCTGCCTCCCTACTCTCCTGCCCATCCCTCTCCCTCCCACCTCTCTCCCATCAGCACATACTTGCACCCACTGCCCGCCCGCCCGCCCGTCCCCTCCCTTGTGCCAACCTGGCCCACCTCAGGACCGTGGGCGTGCTGGGCTCCACGGAGGTGAGGATGCCCTTCATGCCCGTGTTGTGCAGCACGCTGGGTCTCTGCTGGACGGCGTCCTGGGCCCGGGGTGACATAGGCGAGTGCTGGTGGGAGTGGGGGGTAGGGCGGCCGCTGCTGCCGCCCCCACCCCCTCCGCCACTGCCGCCGCTGCTCTGCTCTGTACCTGGTGGGGACAGGCTGCGGGGTCAGGGGACAGGCTGCGCGGCCTGTGCAGATCCCCAAAGGCCAGGGCAGGGACCTCTGCTGCCTTACCGGGTCTCCAGATGGGCGCATGCTCCACGGTGGTGGTGGACGCGAGGACGGGCTTCTCGCGCTCGCGGTCGCGCTCGCGGTCGCGTTCCCGCTCCCTCTCAGACGAGGAGGTGGTGGTGGGTTTTGTCAAGTGAGTGGGACCCCCTGGCAACCAGAAGTCCTATGGTTGAGCCCAGTGCTCAGGGAGGGCCTGGGCCTGTTTTCCAGGGCAAATGGGACGTGGGGCAGGGGTGCTGCCCGGGCTGGGGTGGACGGGACGGGGGGCAGGGGTGTTACCTGGGGAGAGTGGGGAGCTGCTGAGCCGGCCACTGAGGTGCTGGGGCGCAGCGGGGAGGTAGGCGAGGCGGTCCATGGCGGCAGCCGGTGTGCCCGGCGTCGGGGGCACCAGCACGGGGAGGTGTGGCACTTGGGACAAGTCAATGATGCCTGTGGGAGGAGGTAGGGCTGGGGAGTGTGGGCAACGGGCCGGAGGGGCAGGGCGCCCCCTCAGGCCCCTTTTCTGGATGCCAGGCTCTCCCAGTCACACCTCCCTCAACCCCCAGACCCTGGGGGCGGTCGTGCCCTGTGGCTGGCATCTCCGCGTCCCTTGGCTCTTCCAGTCCCTTCCTCTCTTCCAGCCTCAGCGCCCCTCTGGTCAACTCCCTGTGTCCAGTCCCCACTGCCTGGAGTACCTAGAGTGACTGCTTTTTCCAAAGGGACCCTAACTGGTACTTGGTTGTTAAAAACAGCATTCCAGAAATGTTTCCAGAGGCCGACTTTCACACATTTAAAAAGCAACCACAGACTGTTTGTAAGTCAAGGGAGCCAGAAACTCAAACAGCCTCATAGTTTGACCTTTTTTTGGGTCTAACACCAAGGATCCATCTATGAAGAGGTCGCACAGGCATGTGCTCACCTCTGGTGTATGTGTCCGGGATGCGCATGGCCATGAGGCACACACCCACCCACGCTCACGAACCACACGACTCTCAACCACGTGCCAGATCTGCGTGCATCCTCCAGGCCGACTGAGCTGTGGCCTCAGTGACAACATACGTGTTCTCCACACTCCCAAGCAGGTCGGGCGGAGGGATGGGGCTGGTTCTGGGGAGTCTGCCCACCCCCTTGCCTGAAGGTGCCACCCACCCACCTCAAAGCCCGCAGCGTACCCCCCACCCACCCACCCACCCACCTTGAGGCCCCACGACGTGGCTGCCGCCTCCCCCACCCACCTCGAGGCCCGGCGGCGTAGTTGAGGGCCAGCGAGGACTCGCGGGGCGAGAGGCCCCTCAGCATGTCGGCCCGCTGGGCCATGGCGCTGGCCGCGTTGTGGTGCATCTGCTGTGACGTGATGTAGTCATTGATGATTGTCTGGCGGTTCTCCAGCGCTGCCGTGTCGGGGTAGCCGCGGATGAGGTATGGCGGGTACAGGTGCGGGTAGGTGGGGTTGGGGGCCAGGTGTCGGGGCAGGTAATAGGCCGCGGCTGCAGGGAAAAGGGGGCAAGGTCAGGCTGGCGTGCCTTGGCGGGAGAAGGTCGCCCCGTGTGTCTTTACGCACACCTGACAGCTTCCCCCCAACCACCGGCCACAACCCAGAGCTGAGGGCTTACGTACAGAAAACCCTGGGCCCCCAAGACACACGCGGTACCTCGTACTGACAATGTGCTTTGGGTGCAAGTTCCCCTAAAGAGCATCCGCAGTGCAGACCGCTAAGATACCAAGGGAAGCAGCCTCTTAAATGGATTTTCAGACCACGTCCGTTTGAGGTACGCTCAGCAACGCAGCCTGCTTTTAATATGTTTACGATTTTAAAGGCACTGCTAAGTTCCACAGGAAAAGAAAACGGCTGAAAAACGTTTAATCCCGTATGTGCCTCGGACTAAAAGAGAGTCTTCTAAACTGCACGATGGCACTACCGCACCTCTGCGCCTCAGCCTCTCGCCCAGCAGAGGCCAGCTGGTGCCCGAGGAGTCCTTGGGCTGACACGGACGCAGCCCCCGGCCCCGTGGGGGTCTGTGGGTCCCAGACAATCACCTGCATCGAGAGGGATCCCGCGGGGTATGGAGGAGGGATCGAAGGCCAGGGGGATGTGGCCACGGTACAGGTCCACGCCGCTCACGCCACGAAGCAGGTGCTCGTAGGGTGAGATGGGGTGCGGGTGGTGCTCAGGCATGGCACTGTGGGGCGACTTGGCGATCTCCCGGGGCGTCGACGTCAGCTTCCGGTCCTGGGACGCCTTGCTAGACGAGAGGCTGCCTGTGGGGACGGGCCGAGGGGGGGGCGTTGGACCTCCACGCCACTGCTGCCACAGCCCCCAACACGGGGCCGTTGAGTCCGCCGTCAGAGGAGGCCACCTGAGGGGGCGGCTCTCTGGGATGTGAGGGCCGGGCCCCCCCTTCACCTGTTCCTTTGCCTCCAGTTCCTGTGTTCTCTCATTTACCCATCTGCTGCTGTGTTTTTGTTCTTTTTAAAAATTCATTCATTCTCGCCTTCATTTGCTCCTTCATTCACTTGTTCATCCATTCATTCATTCATTCGAGTAATCGAAAAATATTTACAGAGCCTCTATCACACGCCCGGCACTGCTCTAACAGCCAGAGCGATCACAGTGAACACAATACGCAGGAAACCCAGCCGACACGGAGCGGGCACTTAATACCGCAGAAAGGTGACAAACTCTTCAAACTAGAATTTCCGAGTGATAAATGCCCCGGAGGAGATTCAAAATGTGACAAAATGTGACCCGAGGAATGGTGGAGGGTCATAAAAGTCTCCCCAAGAATGCAACATTTGAACAGAGACCCGAAGGACCAAAAACAGCCACTTAGTAACCATCTGAGTGTGGGAGAGGTTTCAGGCAGAGGGAAGAGCAGATGCAAAGGCCCAGAGCACAGCCAGGAACAGCCAGGAGGAACCCGCCAGCCCAGCCTGCGGTGGAAAAAGGAAGGTGGCACGCGTGATGCGCAGACTGCACTGGGCCAGGTCGTACGTGTTCCCCACAGCTATGGCAGAAAGGTGGATTTTTTTCCCACGTTCAGTGAGCAATCACTAGAGAGATTTAAGCAGAAGAGAGGCATGACGGGATTGAGTGTTTCAAAGGACACTCTGGCCGCGTTTGGGGTGCAGGACATAGCAGGATGGGAGGGGAGTCGGCAAGGCCAGTGGGGGAAGTCGTGGGGGTCTGGGGGTGGCAGGGAGATGAGGAAAAGTCCACGTGTCACTTCGGGGCAGGAGCCCCAGGCCCAGCAGGGGAAGGCATATGCTGGCCCCGAGGGCGCCCCGGGCTTTTAGCCGAAGCTGAGCATGGGCAAGGAGGCAGTTTCCTGAGCCAGGAGCCCACCCGGTGCCCGCGCCCCACCCCACGCCCCACGCACCCTCCTGCAGGCGCGGCGTGGGCTCCCGTGTGGTCACCGGCGAGCCGCGTGGCAGGTGGCCAGCGAAGGGCGCCCCATGTTCCTCGTAGGTCAGGGGGCTCTGGCGCGGCTTGCCCAGCTCAGGCACGATGACCGGGGCCCCCCGGGTGATGGAGCCTCCAGAGCTGCCGGCTGCCCCCGGACGGCCCTTCAGGCTCTCTTCGTAGCAGGCGCGCTCCAGGGCCCGGGCATCAGCCATCACGTCCAGCGGGTGCACCGGCGGGAACGTGCGGCCGGGGCTGCCGATGATGGAGCGCACGTCGTGCTTCTTGGAGCCGGAGGAGGACGCGCCAGTGTCATATTTGAGCGGGGTGCCCTGGGGGGAGAGGGGCATGAGCACCGGCTGCAGGACCTCTCTGACCCTCTGTTCCCCCGTCCTGAAGTGGGAGCGACAGCTCAGGCCTCGGGAGGCAGGGGACGAAGGGCTTTGCTGAGCCTGGATGAGCACACGTGACACTGCCCTGCCCAACTGTGTCCCGGCCCCCAGGGCCACGACGTTCACAGGTCAGCCCTTCTTGGAGCAAGTGGGGGACTCTCTGTCGGCCCCTGGAGCCTCAACACTCCCATGGGGGAAACTTCCTCCCACTGGTCTGGGAACCACCCCCCCCCGGCCCACTCAAAGTCACGCCAGGAAATTCAGCAGCAAAGCCCACTCCCACCGCCTGACGCCCAAGGCTCAGAGGTCAGGGCTGAGGTCTGTTTGCTCTCTGGTCAGAGGGGCAGCTGAAGAAACAGGGGGTCACGGACCCCAGTGAGGGCCGGCCACCCGGGAGACGCCTGCGCCCTGCTGACGCAGGCTTGGGAACCCGGGGTGCAGCAGGGCTCGCTGTCTGCAAACCACAGAAACCCGGGCTTACTCACGAATGTTTTCATTACTTTCATGAGAAAGGGAAATAGACCCCCTGCTTCTAATTAGAATACTGTGCAGTCAGACTGGCCTTCCTCTTGGGTCTACAGGGGACTCGTGCCCAGTCCCCTGGCGTTGGATACTGTCCCCACTGCTTTTCTGGGCCCTGGGCACCATCCCCCAAGCTGGGTCACCCTCCCGGGGTACCCTCCCCAGCCCTGTCTGCCTCATGTGGCCACACAGCCCCCGGAGACAGTTCCCGTTCTCCATCCTCATTCCGTCCAGCCACCTCTGAGCACGGGAACGGATGGTGGTTTCCGCTGCGAGCTCCTCGCACAGTGGGAGCTGGTCACGCCCTAGCAGGCTGGGGCCTCCCGGGCCACCGGGGCCGCTGTGGGGCACGGACACCAAGAAACAAAGATGTTGCAGATTTAGGGATATCTGGATTTCACCACCTGCCATTCACTTGCTGTGTGACCCTGAGCAAGTCACTTCACATCTCTGAACCTCCATTTATGCACCAATAAACTGAGGACAGTAAGAGAACACCTCAGAGTGTGGCTGTGGGGGCTGAACTGGGCATGAGCTGTGTGCCCAGGCGGCACCCGGCCCACGATAAAAATCCAGTCGGCAGTACCCATTCATTTTCATGGCCGGCCCAGGGACTTTGACAGGCTGCCAGGACTCTCTGGCCTAAGTCCCTCCACCTGAAGAGAGGGGATGATGGCTAAAGACAGTGCAGGGGTATAAATGCAATTACATGAGGTCACGGACCCAAAGCCCCAAGCGCAGAATCCGGAACGCACACAGCAGAGGGTGTAATCTTGGTCAAGGTGCCCGCTGAGGCCGAGCCTCGCTTTCCCCCCGTGCAGAGGCCGCAGTAGCAGCCGCCCTGCCGGCCAGCCCGGCCCACGCCCGCACCTGCGTGATGGAGCCCTCCTTGAGCGGCCGTGGGCCCAGGGGCAGCTCAGGCGTGCGCCGCAGCTCTTCCCGGGGAATCTCGTGGATGGAGCGGCCGGCCTCCTTCACCGTGGCCACCAGCCCCTCGTGCGCCGGCTTCAGCTTCAGGGGGCCCAGGGCCTCTAGGGGCCGGGCCTTGTAGGCCTCAGCCAGGTCTCGTGGGGGTGGCGGCGGCGGCGGTGTGCCCTCGCGCTTTAGGAGCTTGGCCTCCCGGCGGAGGTAGTCTTCCTGCGCCTCCACGTAGGCCCGCGGGATCCCTGCCGAGGAGGGGGTGGGGGTTGAGCCTCACTCTGCACCCCCCATGCCCGACCCTGCCTGTTCTGCAGCCAGACTGCCCGACTTCAAATCCTCACTCGCTGTGGGACCTTGAGCCCACGACCTGACCTCTCTGAGCCTCAGTCTCTTCATATATAAAACAGGAATATTAACTGAGGCGCCTTGCCGAGTCACACTCATTCAGTGAGACACTAGACGGAAAGCAAGAGCGGGGTCCGGAGTGGCTGGCTCGCCACCGACCAGCCAAGAGAACTGGGGTGACGTGCTAACAGTAGCTGCTACGAGGTGTCAGCAAGTGATAGTACCGGTCCCACCTGACAGCACAGGGGCAGCACCTGGTCAGTACCAAGCACGAAACAGGCTCAGTAACCTGCACAGTGCAGGGGCGCTAGCTGGTAATGTGCTTTCCCTTCGCAATTTTAAGGAGGAAACGCCCTTGCTGTACATTTCAGCCCGCGCCTGCACGGTCACGTACACGTGTTACACGCGTTACACGCAGGCACGGCTCCCCGCCCCCACCCATCCAGATGGAAACCTCTGGGGGCTCATAGGAGTCGCTGTGGTGGCGGGCGGGAGGAGAGGCACGGTGGGGGGGGGGGGGAGCACCTTGTGTGATGGAGCCTCGGATGTGGTGCTGCTCCTTGAGGTGGTGCGGGCTGTGTCGCTCAGGCGGGATGGCACGGCCCATGAGACCTGGAGAGGGACAACGGCATCAGGGTCACATGGGTCCCCTGCCGGCCTTGGGCATGACAGGGCTCCTGCCGGCCTGGGTCCCTTCGGCCTCTTGACAGCAGTCCCGTGATGCTGGTGTTGGCGGCAGCAGACCCTCTCCTGGGCCCCCGGACTGAGCCTCAGCCAATCCCAGCCTCAGGCTTCCTCTTGGGAAAACTAGGCTAACCATCCCACCACCTCCCTCCAGGGGGCGCTCTTAGGCACGGAGCTGGGAAGCCCTGGGGGGCAGGTCCGGGGCCCCTACCTTCAATACTGGCGGAGGACATGGCCCTGCTGACGCGGCCCTCCATCATGTCGTAGGTGCGCTTGGGGGCGGCCGTCTCATGAGGGGGCCCGGAGCTGCTCCTGCCGTCCTCCTTGGAGCACTGGGACACGGATATGCCACCTGGAGTGCAGACCACGCTTGTGGCGAGGGGCCCAGGCACAGGAGCCGAGCCCTGCCACCAGGCTCGGCTGAGCCTCCTGGGGAGTCCCAGCGGGCAGTCCAGCCGGGGCCTCCCAGCCGGGCCCCAACGACCAGTCTCTCTCCAGCTCACGGCACCCGTGGACAGGAGAGGCCGGCCAGCTTCCCGCACCCTCACACCCACGCAAACATGTCCTCACGCGGTGCTGACTTGTGACACGAACATCAGGGCACACATGTGTGCAAGCACGAATCCAGAAGCAGCATTTGAACACACAGCGTGTGCACGTATGAGCGTGTGCGCGTACATGCACGCCTGGCCACTGAGAGCAAAGTGAGGCTCTGCGCACGGATGTGCCTGTGTGTCCTGTGCACAGCGCGTACAAGAACAGATGTGCCTTATGATCCATGTGTGGAGCGTGCACAATCTGGGGGGGGTGGCGAGGGAGGGCTGTCCATGGCACACGTGGCCTTGCTCAGCCAGGATAAGCCCGGAGTGGCCAGGTGCAGTGCTCCCCCAGATAGGCCCAGGGACTGAGAAGACAGAGGCCTGGCCGTGCCCAGCAGGCCCCCCGTAACCTCTCTCCCTCAGGGTGGCTGAGGCTGGGGTGTCCAAAGCAGGGCACCAGGCCTGCCCCCTGAGAACAAGGTCTCCCCCCGTTCCTACACGGGGTCCACCCCAGAGGCTACAGGTGGGCGGCCTGTAGACGTACGGGCTGCTGCTCTGAACCTTCTTCAGAATTAACGGCTCATGTTTAAATGCAGAGATTTCAGATCAAAATGGAAAAATATATACGATATAAAAGGACAGATCAGCAGTGAGCTGCTGGGCTCACATCCGTACAGGGCCACCACTGGCAAACACAGCAGTCGCCGTGCAGGCTGCCAGAGGCCCGCTCCCTGCCGCCCACCCCACTGCCCTCGCCAGCAGGCGGCCTCAGGGCCCCACCTGCACTTCCCCGGACCAAGGGGGCGGGCGGGTGGGCGGGCACAGGCAGAAGCAGACACAGAGGCAAGAAGATGCCCGCTGGCCAGAGGAGAAGTAACTTAGGGCCCTGCAGCGCCAGCCGCTGAGAGGGGCGCCCATCAGATGTGATCCGCTCGAGGGTCCTGGGTGCCCGAGGACGCCGGGAACCTCACGCCCCAGCTCTGCATCCCCTTTACTCCCCCTGTGCAGGGTGCCTTGGTTGTGGACCCTGAACCCAGAAGGGGAGAAGAGGGGTGGAGGCAAGGGGAGCTGGAGGGTCACGTTGGCCTCTAGGCAGCCACCCGTGTGCTGTCCATTAGAGCATGGTGTTTGCCGGAACTTCTAGGCTTCTGCTCTCCTGCCTCAGTTTCCCCACTCTGCTTCTAGCAAGGCTGACCATGGGTTTGTTTCCCAAACTGTGAAGAACTGAGCGGAGGTGAAAGGGAGGCCAGCCCTCGCCTGCCACTGGCTTGTGCCCTGCAGGGACAGGGAGGTCACCACCCTCTGCTCATGCTTCATGCTGTCACCCAGCCCTGCCTCGCGGTGAAGCCACCTCAATGGGCCACACACCCTGCCCCCCTGCTCCCAGGCCTCCTGGTCTGTCAAGGAGCCAGAGGGTGGCCAGAGAGAGAGACGCTGGCTGTTGCTGTATATCTGTAAACTATAAAATGGGGATAAAATGCTTCACCCTGGTTCTCCACCACTCCAGCGGATGGAGGGGCCCCGATTCCCCAGATCTCTTTTCCAAAGACATCTGGAAATGTCTTCTACCCCCACCACGTTTTTCCAGACCCTCCTCTCTTGACCAGCTCCAGAAACACCAAAGCCTAGGGTTTGGTGGACAGGCCACGCCAGTGGGGCATGTTTCCGGGACTCAAAATTAACAAAGCGGCTTCCTGTTTGCATCTCATGTGGTGTCCTGAGAGCTCTCTGGGGGGCGGGGGTGGCATCATTCGCTGGACTCCCCATGGCCCACTGTCCTCCAGCGCCCCCTCACCCCTCTGTCTCAAGACTTTCCCAGCACTGAAGACCCCCACATATGGGGAGGAGGAAGGCCCCAGGCCGCCCCGACAGCTCATCGGAGCTGTTAACAGGACTCACCCTCGTAGGACAGGACGTGGCCCTTCTTGCCCTCGTAGATGACGTGGCCCTTGGGCAGGTTGTCCTCCCGGCTGCGGTCCAGACGACTCGGGCTGTCCTCGCCGATGATCCTGGTGATGGTGCCTTTGTACAGGACGTCGGCCGGTGTGCCCTGGGGGCAGAGAGCAGGTGGGCACACGGGCACGACGCGGGCATGACCTCCCACTGCACACACAGGCGCGTGTGCACATGTGCCGGGTCCCCCAGCGAGCATGTGTGTGCATCCATGTGCTGCTCTGGGGGAGTGGGGGGGGGGACGTGGCCCAGCAGAGCAGCACCATGTCAGCAGTGCTAACCCTCAGGGCCCTTCCCGAGCGCCTGCTGTGCAAGGGAAACCACTGGAGCCCCTAATTTTTTTTTTTAATATTTTATTTATTTTTGAGAGAGAGATAGAGACAACATGAGCAGGGGAGGGTCAGAGAGAGAGGGAGACACAGAATCTGAAGCAGGCTCCAGGCTCTGAGCTAGCTGTCAGCACAGAGCCCAACGCGGGGCTCGAACCCACAAACCGTGAGATCATGACCTGAAGTCGGACGCTTAACCGACTGAGCCACCCAGGCGCCCCTGGAGCCCCTAATTTGTACCAACTCGTTTAATCCTGGCCGCAGCCCTACGGCAGGCACTATCATTATGCCTGTTTCAGATGGGGAAACTGAGGCACTGAGTGGTTAGGTGACGTCATCCGGGGTCACTGATGATGAGGGGCAGAGCAGGGACTGGAAGCCAGGCAGCACAGCCCTGCCGTCTGTGTTCCAACCTGCACTGTCTGGGTGTTACTCTCTTAGAGCCCAACATAACTGGACAGGGGTGCTGAGACCCAGGCCCTGTGCTGTGCCTGTGGTTTTCCCAAAACCAGGGTCGGTCCCCCCCCAGCACGAGGACACAGGACCAGTGTCCTGGGCGTGGAAAGATGGGTAGCAGCCGCAGGTCTCTCCACTGGATCCCAAAACAGCGCCAGGCCTCCCCAGTGTGCCCCTCCACGGCGTAATCACAATCACGGACATCCCCAGACACCGCCCAATGTCCCCTGGGAGGCAAAGCTGCCCCCGAAGGAGAATTACTGCCGGAGAGCGGGCGCCCCACGACGGGAGGTGTTCGAGCGGAGAGAAGACAGCACACGGAGTGGCATCCTGCCTCGGGCAACCCCCAAGAACACGAGTGTGGGGATCAGAGTATGAGTGTGGAGCTCGATGGCTGGACGCCAAAAAGCAGCTGTACAAATGAGTTGCTGGGTGGCCTTGGTCAAGTCAGTCGGCCTCTCTTAACCTCAGTTTGTACGTCTAGACAATGGAAACAATTTCTGCATCTATAATTTTCGAAGGCACTTGACACAGACAAGCTGTCCCCAAATCAAGACGTCTCTTTTCTTCCTGAGATTCTGGGAGCCGTGTCACAGACGTGGGGGTCCTACTGTGTGCCACGCCCTGGGCCATGAGCTCCCAAGAAACTTCTCTACTGAGACACCCCTCTGCGGGGTAAGGGCATGGCCTGGGCTCCGTCCCGCAGGCCCAGCTTTGCAAGGAGGGAACAGGAGGGTGTTCGCCATGCGGATGAGCTCCCTGACCTCTCACCGCTAAGGCTCTGGCTGGGGTATCCCTGCCGCTGGGAAGTGTCTGTGCACAGGGTAGGATCAGTGGGTGACAGCTGGGCGGCGGGCCGGGGCACGCAGGGACATCCTGTCAGGACAGGCGCCTCAGAGGCGGCTGCTCCCGGCACAGTTATTCCCCAGGTGAGGCCATCAGAACCGCGCCTCTAACCGGGCCTCCACCGGGGAAGAGCGGAGGTTTACGAAGTTCCCCACGGATGGGAGAACAGGGGCTCTCCCGGCGGGACTGACGGCGCTCAGGGCTCTCAGGCGACACTACTTACAGGCACCCCTCCGTGCATGGACAGAGAGGACCCGGAGGGGCTGTGGACCCCGCCCCTGGGGACAATACACTGGACAAACCCCTGCAAGCGGGGAGACTGTTGGCCTATGGCCTGTTTCAAGGACGGGAGCCTGCAGCCCCCTGGCGTGGACCCCCGCGAACCTCACTACCGGGGAGGGGGGAGCCCCAGGGAGGACAGAGTGCCTGGGGCTCCCTCCAGCCTCTGGACGTCACGCCCACTGGGTTCACGGATGTGTGCATCTGTCTGTCTGTGCGCGCGTGCCGTCTGTGCGGGACTTCACGGCCGCCCGGACGGGAGGCTGTGGGAAAGTCTGACCCCACGTGCTCTCACAGCCGCCACCCTCTGCCAGAAACAGCTGGAGCGGGGGAGTGACCGAAATGGCGCAGGTCACAGCTGCCTGGAAACTTGGCAGACGGGCTCCTAGGAACTTCAGATCTCGACCTTTAATCACAAATGTCCCCATGAGAAAGACTCTGTGGGGAGTACTTTCACAGGAGGGGAGACCGACTGGGGGGGGAGGGGGCGTTCCCCGCTGAGCGAGTGGCCACAGAGCTGGGCCCTGAATTCCTCGGCCTGACTTTTGCCCCAAGTGCTTGTTCTTTGCACTCAGCGAGTCTCCCTCCACTAGCCTGTTATTTCAAAACTCCCAGCTTTGTCCTCTGTGGTGTGACCTGGGGCCACCGGGGTGGCAAACACCTCACTGTCGCCCAGCCTATGGCTGGTGCTGCACCACTAAGGCACGTGTGGGCGGGGCAGGGGTGTTGTGTGCGCACGTCTGTGGGCCTGCACATCTGTCCGTATGGCCTGTACATGTGTCTGCACCACGTCTGTGTGTGTGTGTGTGTGTGTGTGAGTGTGCGTGCCCGTCTGTGTGCATGCAAGCGTGTCTGCGCCCATACTCCTAGGCACGCACGCACACACACACGTTCTGGCCCCATGTTCTCTGACACGCTGTCCCAGAGCCAGACGTGGCCAGGCATAAAACCCCAGGTCCGCTCCTTACGAGCTTCGTGACCTCTGGTTTATTCTCTGAGCTTCGGTCTTCTCATCTCTAAAATGGGCTATCCTAGCATGGGACCTGTCAGCATAAAGCATCTTGTCTGACCTGGGTGCAAGGGGAGGAAAACAGAGACCCTGGTGCTTCGGGGCCCAGGAACTGCCGGAGCCACACCTCATGCTCACTGGCCTGGGAGGAGAGGGTCTAACGGGTCCCGGGGGCGTCGGGGACCCCGACCGCGGTCCAGTGGAGAGCAGGGCCGCCGTCCCTCACACAGGAGGGCCTTATGAACGACCACCCCCAGCAGAGGGGGCCGGCTCAGCCAAAGGGCAGAGCCCCCGGCCACCAACACCCAAAGGGGCCCGTGCCCCCCACTCCAGGTGCCGCGGCCCTCCCCAGCCTGTGCCCCCGCCCGAGACGTGGCCACATGCTGTTCCGAAATTCCCGCAGGGTCGCCCCCGGAAGTCTCCTCCGCTGGCCTGTCCGTGTGGCCCTGGCAGCCCCGGTCCTCCTTGATCATGGTGTTGCACTCAGCCTGAAGCGGCGGGTACCCTGAAGTGGCCCAGTTCTCACCGGCCTGTGTGCCCGGCCACTTCCCGCTGCCTAGCTGGCCCCTTGGAAGCAGCGACTTGTGTGTTTCGCTCAGCACTTGCAGCGCCCAGATCCGCACGGACGAGATGCGTGCCCATGGCACAAGCTGCTATAGCCGGGACGTCCCCTCACCCACCAAGACCGGTGCCATGCAGTGGCGCCAGGGGAACAGAGGGGCCGGGCCTCGGCTCCGCCTGCGGTCAGGGCCGAGTCTGGAGCTGCCGTCTGCAGGTCCTCCCCCTCAACCCCCCGTGCGTTCCTCGGGACACCTACGTGGGTGATGGAGCCGCGGTACGTGATGGGGCTCTCAGAAGGCACCCGCGTGCTGGGAATGCCCTTGGTGATGCTTCCTCCTGGAACGGAGCCCAGAGATGTCCCTAAAAGACACGAGACACGTCACGTGAAGGGCATCTGCAACCCTTTCCCAGATCCCAGTCCTAAGAGCCACCTGGACTGTGCTCCTGAGCTGCAAGTCCCCCCTGGGGTCTCCACACAGAAGGTCCCCCTAATCAAGAAAGGGTTCTGGACCCTGTGGGAGCTGATGACTCTCAGATCTGGGATAAAAGCCCCCATTCCTGCCTCAACCCTCCTCGCTGGGGATGCAGACTCACGCCCACCCCTCATGCCCTCACCTCTCAGCACGGATGTCTCCTGGGCCGTGGGCACCCCCAGGCTCTCCGGTGGCCCAGCCTGGCCCCGTGGGGACAGCTGCTCCTGCTTCACTCCGCTGAAGGGCGCTGGGGACGGGCGAGAACAGTGAGGCACACGCCGCTGGCACAGGGCCCCGGAGGGATGCCCCCACCTAGTCCTACCCAGGGGCTGGGGGCCAGCACCCTCCCCTTAAGTCCAAGCCGGAATCCCAGGGGCCAAGCTGCCTTCCCTCGACCCCCAACATGGTCAGCTGGAGCCATGCCTGGGCCATCGAGGTTGGGGGCCCTGGTCCTTACCCAGCTTCTTAGGGTCCATGGCAAGGGGCAGCCCCATGGTGATGGGGCCCACGGGGGCCTTGGCGTGCTCTGAGTAAGGGACGTGGAGCTGCACCGACACTCCCTGCGAGGGACAGAGGTCATGGGTTCACAGGGGCCCCGAAGACCCCCACCACACACCCAGCCAGAGTGCCCTGGCACCCCCTTCTCCGAGAGCCCACGAGGAGAGGAATGCTGGGGTCGCGTGCGGGTGGGGGAGCTGGGAACTCAAGTCCCAGGCCTGCTGCCCAGCTGCGTGACCATGGACCAGCCCCCAGCTCTCCTGAGCCTCAGTCCCCTCCCGTGAAGCAGCCGTCATGAGCAGGTATGGGTGGTCTGGGGGCAAAGCAGACACCTTGTCCCCCCATCACCGCACAGGTGGATAGGGCGGGGAGGTGAAGGGACAGATAGTCACAGATGGCTCCCCATGTGTTGTGTGTCTAGTGCATTCGACCTTCCATTCCACAGAAGAGAAACCGAGGCACGGCAAGTTTGGGTAATCTGGCCAAGGCCACAAAGCCTGGTTACGGAGTCCATGCTCTTGACTGCCCGAGTCCCAAAATCCTGAGTGCCTGGGGCCAACTCCAGCCGCGAAGGGCACAGGGACGACCCCGGCCCCTGGAGTGCCCAGCCCCCACCTAGGTACCATTGTTTCCAGTGCCTCCACTTTACAGATGGAAAGCCTGCACCCCACGAGGAAGGGGCTGTTCTCTGGGCACCAGGCCACACGGATGCTCCGGGGGTGCTGGCCCTCCCGCCTCACCTGGGAGATGGCGCTCATTTGCCTCTCGAGGACGCTGGGGTGCTTAGTGGAGGAGATGAGGGGCGGCGGGTTGGAGATGGCGGGTGGGCGAGGCAGGCCAGGCCGGGCACTGTCATGGAGGCCCAGGGGCAGTGGGTGACCTGTAGGGCACACGTCTGTCCATCACAGGGCCCCAGCAGGAAGCATGCCCCTGCCAGACGGAGCCCCACCACCAGCAGGTGCCTGTCCACATGTGTCCCTCTGCTGCGCCACTCATCTCGGTCCTGATGAGCTCTCGCATCCTCAGTTCAGAGGCCACAGTCTACAGGAAGCTTCCCTCCACCCTACCACAGCCCAGCCCCCCGTCCAAGCCCCTCACCTCCAGCCCAGACCCCTTTTAACTGGTCTTCCCGTTCCCACTTTACCCCCTCGCCCCCAACAGCCCATTCCCCTCAAAGGAATTCTGAAAAGCCTAGAGGTTCACATCCTCCCCGTGCTGTGAACCTTCCATGGCTCCCCAGTGCCCCCAGGATAAACTCTTAAACTGTGACACGGCTTTCAGGTTCCCCCGGCCTGGTGCTTGCAGCTCCCTCCAGACCCTGGCCTGGTGCTTACGGTCCCCCCAGACCCACGGCCTGGGCATCAAGCTTCCAGAGAGGCAGCCTGACTCTGTCTCCCAAGTTTCACCTGCTCTTCCCTACGTCCGGCCCTCAGCACATGAGGCTCCCCTGCCTGGCGGGTCTTTCCCTGTTTTGCTCCAGACTCATTTAGCCCACTCATGCTTCAGGCGCAGCCCTGCTTAGGACGGCCTTTGCTGCCTTATCGATCCCCCAGATGTGCCACTTCTGTTGCTGGTGGGGCCCGGCAGGACTGGAGAACCCAGAGAACCAGCCTGAACATACCTGTAAACCAAAGCAGGCCCCCCCCTCCCCCCCCAGGCTTTTCTTTCCACCTGCCCATTCTCTACTCTAAGTCACTGGTGGAAGACAGCACCCCCACCCTAGGGCTGCCCCTCACCAGCTCAAGTACCTCCTATGGCTCCCTACTGCCAGTGGCTTCAATTCTAATCCTACAAACTTCTCTAATCTCAAAAGATCCCCTCCTTTCCCTTCACTGACCAGACCATCCCTCTTGCTGGGTCCCCTCAGATTCTAAGATACTTCTGCATGCAGTTCCAAACCAGTGCAAATAGTTGGCACCCACTGACTGCACTGGCTGACTCAGAGCGGTGGCTTGGGCTGGGCTACTCACCAGGCGGGGCGTAGGAAAAGGCCGAGGGGTCAGGGGTGTGCGGGGAGGCCTTGATCACCTCTCGAGGGGGCACGGGGAAGGGCAGGCCTGACGTCCAGCACGGAGGCTCTGTGGGCAGCTTCTGGCCCTCAGGTGCAAAGGCCGAGAAGAACACAGGCTTCTCTGCTGAGGGGACGAGGCAGGGCCGTCAGCCAAGCTTAGCCAGCCCTGCTCCAACAGGGCCCCCCTGCGCCCATGGTCCCGGCCAGCAGTGATGGGGGTCTGTGCTGGGGGCCCCCCGAGTGTGCAGGCCGGCACCACACGGAGCCCGGGGACTAGCCTCCAAAGCGGGGCTGGAGCTGGGGGCACGGGCCCAGGCTCCTGATTTTGTGTGGACATTTCCTCTGGAGGACAGCCGCGACTGCCCGATTATTGTCTATGGCACAGCTGAGTGCTTGCAGCGGAGACGGCCTGGCTGTAAAGTCTAAGACACTGACTGCCCGGCTCTTTCTAGAAGCAGCTCACTGGCCTCTGCACAACGATGAAGGCTTGCTTTGATATGTACGCCCTGGCAGGATGGCCAGCCAGCAGTCCAGACATTCAGGATGACGGCCACCATGGCCGCACCTTTGCTGAGCACGTACTATGTGCCAGGCACTGTGTTAAGCATCCCGCCAGCACGGATCCAAGGAGCCTCCTCAGCAAGCTCGCAAGAAAGAGACTGTTACCAGATCTGGTGTGTGGAAGGGGAAACTGAGGCACAGACACATCAATGGAGTTATCTAAGGCCCCCAGCAAATACCTGGCCAAGTCAGGATTTGAACCCTCAGCCTCCCCAGCCTGTGCGGCTGCAGGTAACAAAATAGACTAACGTCCTCCCCCAAGCCTCCCGCGAGCCAGCGCTACCTGAAGCGTGTACCGCCTCGTTTACCCTCACTTCACCCTGAACAGAAGTATCATTGTCTCCGTTTTACAGATGGGAAAACTGAGGACAGGAGAGGCAAAGTCCTCTGGTCAAAGGGCCGCAGCTGGCAAAGGAAGGAGTTGCTAGCCCAGGCAGGCAGGCTCCAGACTGTGACCTTAACCTTCACTAGGCGGCCTGCCCACAGGAAGATGAATGACAGCTGGCCCCAGGTTCCCAGACCTGGGGCCACCCGCAGACATGGCCAGAGGCCAGGGGCTCAGGTGTGTGGTCACGGCATGCTCCTGCCCACCTCCCACTCTACTGAGATCTGCCCCGAGCTCCAGGCCTCTCCCTTGAGAACCAGCCTGGGGACTCAAGGGAGGGAAGTGGCCGAGAAGCCGGACAGGAGCACGACTGGGAAACGCAGGGACCGTCCAGCCCCCGGGGCAGGCGTCGTCTCTCGGGCCACCTCCAGATGGCGGGAGGTTCTGAAGGCCCACGAAGGGGTGGCAGCAGAGTGCCAGCATTGACCAATGATGCCTGCCGTGGGCACGGCAGATGGCACTGCAGGGGTGTCCGCCCCAGAGCCCCTATCTCTACCACGAAAGACCCAGCTCACCCTGATCCCGTGCCCTGGTGAGGGGGGGCAGCCCGCAGGAGGGGAGGCAGCCGTGGGGGGAACAGCCTACGGGGGGTGGTCACAGATGTGGGGAATAACTCCCGGTAGGGATTCACTAGCCCCGAACAGAGGCACTGGGCCTGCCCTGAACACCCTAGGCCTTGCTTGTCCAGCTGCCCAAACCCCACTCCTGCAGCTCAGCCTGGGCTGTGGGGACAGGAGTGGGGGGTGGGGGGCTCCCGGGCTGGAAGGGAAATCTGGGGCCGGGCCAGTCTGGGAGGGAGGCCGAGAGCCTGGAGAGACAACCTGTTCCTCCAGCTGGCCCCGGGGGAGCCCGAGGGACCAGAGAGGTAGTGCTGGGCGCCAGCTTCCCACATGCCTCAGGGCGCCGAGCAGCACCCCGCGGCTCGGGAGGCAAGCGCGCAGAGCCTGGGACCAGGTGTGCGCCCTAGCGCCGGGAGCCGTTCCAGGAAGGGGGCCAGAAGCCACTGGCGGCTCGCTTCCTCCCGGGACAGTGCCTGTGACCAGTCCCAGCAGGCCCTGGCTGGCCCCGCAGCTGCCCGAGGGTGCCCTGGCCCTGCTTGCAGCCAGCCCTGCCACCGGCAAACCCGCAGCTGGTGCCCCAGGGCCTGGAATGCCCCCCGGAGCCAGGCCTGGCTCCTCCCTGTGTTGGGCGTCCCGGTCCCGGCGTGGTGGCTGGCAGGGTCCCGAGAAGGCAGACACCCCACCCCGGCCCCATCCCCACCCGGGCCAATCAGCCCGCCCGGCGGCTCTGCCTCTGAAACAAAGCTCCCACCTCCACAGTCACCCCTGCAGCCTGGCTGCCGCCACAGCTGGTCGGGAGCAGCCCATGGCCTCCTCCATCTGCCTACTCCCTGAAGCCCCTTCTCCTCAACGATGGCCAGAGAAAGAAACACAGAGAGAGAGAGTTCTTTCCGAAATATAAATCACATTACTCCCCACAACACAAACACATTAAAATTCCTCCCCCAAAGGCTCCTATACCTGAGACAGAATCCCTGTGGTACCACGGCCTAGGGGGCCCTCCATAATCCGGGCCCCACGTTTCCTGCTCTGATCCTCTCTCCTGCCTGCTCCCCGGCCATAACAACCTTCTGGCAGCTCCCCAAACACACCAAGCCTGTCCTCACCCCAGGGCCTTTGCACATGCTATTCCCTCTGCCTGGAATGCCCTTTACCCACATCTTCCCATGACTGACTCCTCATCACAGAGACCCCTACTCTGAGCCCTTCCTGACTCTTTTCCGTTCTTTAATTGCAAGAACAACTCCAAAGTCATCTTGCTTCTTTACGTGTGTGTTCTGGCTTAATGTCCTTCTCAACCACAAAGAGAGCTCTTGATGGCTTCCCCTTGCTCACCGCCAACCCCCTGCTGGCTGGCACAGCACTTGGCCATCACAGGTGTTCAACAAGTGTCCTGGCCCAGTGGCCGGCAAACAGCCTGTGTGCGGGCCAGGACGCATGCACACCCATGTGGGTGGCGCTGAGACTTCCGGCAACAGAGAAAGCAGACGCAGGGAGGCAAGGGGGCGGGCTGATGAGACGGGGACTGCCTGGCAGGCCCGTGTTACTTGTGAGAAGCGTGGAGCCTTCCTCCCTTAGGGACAGCCCTGCTCCTTGTCCTCAGACAGGCACACAGCACCACCCTCGAGAGGCCCGTGGCCAAGGCCCAGCCCAGCTTTCTAGAGAAGGGCTGCTATTCCCTAGAAGGGGGCGCAGGTACCACTGGCCACCCCACACTGCGCTAGGCTGGCCAGGGCCAGGGGCTGGGACCCCTCGAGCGGCCAGCAAAAGCTGAGGCTGGCCCAGCGTGGGGGAGCCTCTGGCGGAACCATGCCCAACACCCGTGATGCGCACAGACCCACTGTGTGCCAGGCTGGATGGGAGAGTGTGCCCCTTCGGGGACACAGGCCTGGAACTCCCTGGGTCCCATGGGGAGTGTGAGGCAGAGAGGAAATGCAGAGAAAGAGAAACCACGCCCTGCCCATCTCCTGACCTTGAGCTTCACACAGCGGCCATAAAGCACGCCCGGGGCAGAGGCTGTAACACAGCTGCTCCAGGAATTACCTCATGGACTCCACACCAACCCCGGCGACCCCGCCTTGAGTGAGGTCAGGGTGAGAGCAGGAGCGGGCAGCACTTCCGGCCCGGCCAGGCGCCGAGCCTGCTCTATGGGTCAGGGAGCTCGTACGTGGGCTGAATCATGTGGAATGGGAGGCTGAGCCACAGACGTGCTTAGTGCAGACAGGACGCTTTTGAAACATTTTTAACGTTGTCAACGTTGGGAAACTAGATCTCACGAGAAAACACGATTTCTCGCTTCTCTGGAAGGCCTGTGCTGCCGCGTGCTGGCCCGGCTGGAGCCGCCATGTGCCCACCTTAGACCAGAAGTTCTAGGATCTGCCGCTCTTCCCAGCAACACCCCAGGGCCTCGCCACCCCCGCCCCCCCACCACTGCCCATGCTATTCACTTACCCCGCTTGCTGGCCGCTGTGTGCTTGGGGCGTGCAACAGCTGCCCTGCATGCGGACAGCCCGTATCCCTCACCCCTGCTGTGCTCCTGCTCCCCCTACTCTCCGCCGTGGCCGGGGGCACCCACTCACCCTCCTTCTCGGAAGGAGGCACAGGGCTCCTGCTTTTGCCTCGAGGGCTGTTGCTGGGCTGCTGGGGGGCGTCGTTCTCCAGCTGCAGGTGCTGTGGTGGGGGGGGGGCCGGGGGAGCCGCGTCCTCCCGGGGGGGCTCATGGACTTTGGTGACCTGCTGAGTGAAGCAAGGGGAAGTGACCATCTTTGCAGGCCATCCGTGAGCCACAGGGATCGGGGAAAGCCTTCCAGGCCCCCCGCCCGTGACAAGCCTGAAAGCCGAGGCGGTGAGGTGCTCAAGGGGCTCCGGGAGCAGGAGGGTGGGTCCCTGAGCAGAGTGGGGGGTGTGGCCGTGCAGCCAGCCACCGAATGTGGGAGCCCGGGCCCTGGGCCCCAGTCCCCACGGGTCTGGGAGATGGGGACTGGCAAGCAGGACGGCCCCCCACCCTGGCAGCCGGCAGTACGGCCTGGCCCGCCCTGTGCCCCTCACTCGGAAAGCCCCGTAGCCACATGCGGGAAGCTCGGGCACACGTCCTCAGAGAGGAGCAGCCTCGGCAGAGGCTGGGCCGTTGCGATGTGAGGACTCTTCTGAGTCTAGAAGCCTCACGGGGCCTCTCCATTAGAACGGGCAAGGCCCCCCCTTTCTGCCCAAGGGGCTGAGACAGCAGGGGATCTCCTGACCTCCCTGGTCTGGGGGAGCTCGGGAGAAGCCTCGGGGGCAGGGCGCAGGTGGGTAAGGTGGGCACAGCTGCTCCGGCTGGGAGGGCAGAGGGGAGGCCTGCGGCCCGCAAGCTCCCTGCGCCGCCACAGCCTGGGAGCCGTTCCCACCTCCTCTCCCTGGGGATTTCTCCGGGAAACAGGCTGCCGGGAACAGCGAGGCTGCAGGTGCTGCCACCCGCCGCCCCCGCCCTGAGCTGGGCCCCCAGCCTCCTCCACTGCCTCCCTGGACTGGTGCCTTGCAGGAGCCCTGGGGTGCGGGAGGGCCGGCCACTCACGATCGGGGGTATGGCAGCCGCCCGCTGCTTCAGCTGCTTCAGGTCCAGCGGCTTCTGCGGGGAGGCGTTGGTCCTGGTGTCACTGGTGGGGGTGAGGAGGCTGGGCCGTGGTGACAGCAGCCTGAGGGGGAGAACAGGCGTCAGCACGGGCCTCTCCTGGCTCTAGCCTGCAGGGTCAGGCTGGAGGGGCCGTCCGAGGGGGGCAAATGTCCAGGGTCACCGGCCGAGGAAGCCAACCAGGACCTGGGGGTGGGGAGCGGGGCAGGCAGCTCCTCCCTCACCCCCCCCCCCAGGTCCTTGCTGGCTCCCGGACCCGCCCCAAACCCAGCCCAAGGCCCAGGCCAGGGCTAAACACGCCCCCAAGACAGCCCAAGGCAAGCAGCGGCCCAGGGAAGCCGAGACCCGGCCCTTCGGAAACTGCGGCAGAGCCAGAGAACTGACCAGCTGAAAGCCTGGTGAGCTTGCGAGATTCAGGAGGTGACTTGTCAGCCACACACGAGAGGCTCAGGTGCCAGGGCCGAGTGGACCCCACTTACTGGAGACCAGACTTGGGGACCCACTGGCTTAACCAGAAAGCTCCACTAACTGGAATCTCATGGACCCACTGTTCACCAGGGGGGCGCTAAGAACAGGTAGGCTACAAGCTTCGTGTCGGGGGCTTGGTCAGCGTGGACATGTCTACCGATCAGCTCCAAGTATGACCACGAGCTGGACAGGGCCAGCTCGTAAGTGCGTCAGTGCTCAAGCAAGGTCACACCTGTCTGCTGCTGGCACACAGAACTGGGAGCCCGCCCAGGGCCCCTGGCAGGGCCGAAGTGGATGCCAGGGCGAGGGTCCCTCCAGTGTAGGGGCACCCAAACAGAGCCCGCCCTGGGGGGGTGGTTCCTGAACTGGTCACGGGTGTTGCCTCCTTCAGGAAGCCCTCAGCGATTTCCAGGAAACCCCAGTGCATTGGGCACAGTCCCGCTCTGGCTCCCCAGCCGGCGAGAGGTCTCTAGGGTCAGACCTCAGTCTGCCCCAGCCTGACCCTCACCTACCCACCGGGGCTGCCAGGGTCCTGCCCGGCTCTTCACTCTCTCCTGTGACTTGCTGGGCACACAGCAGACCCAGTGCCGTGCCCGGGGAGCACAGAGATGCCCAGAATCCAGTCTCTGCCTGCGGGACACCACGGACGACCCAACAGGGCATATGAGGGCACTGGCCAGGGGCCGGGATTCACCCAGAGGGCAGAGCTGAGTCTGGGTCCCCACAGCCAGAGGGCCCTGTCAGCACAGCCCCTACTGTGCACTGTGACCACATTGGGTGACAGCCACTGCCTTCTAGATAAAAGCCGTGACAACGGGGATGGGCTCACAGCACTCCGCACCCGGCAGCTGGAGCCAGACACCCAGCGACAGAGAAAACATGCCTCCTTCCCATGGGGGGGGCAGGCGTGCCGCTGACCCAGGGCCTCACGCCCTCTGCTCTCCGTGGTGCCCAAGCCACGGCCATGACAGCCTGTGCTGCGGGCACCTGCCTCCCGCCCGCATCTGCCACACGCTCAACTGGGCAGAGACAGACACGGCGATGCCTGCTGGGGCTGCCCGTGGCGCAGAGGAAGGTCATCCTGCCTTCTCCATGCTCAGCCGGCCTCCGCAGTCCTTCCCACCTGCTCCCCTCCCTCCCACACTCACCCCTCTACCTCCCCAGGCCCTGCGCATGCTCCGAGGGCTTGGAGCCTCTCTGGCCGCTACCCCTCTTTTGCCCCCAGGCACCGTCTAACAGGGCTGAGCACCCACGCCATCAGCGGTCCTGATGGTCCCCACCTGCCGCAACTGCCCCCTCACCCAGCCTCCCCTCCCCTCTGCCTCCCCATCCCTTTAAACCAACACACACTCGTTAACTTAAAAATGAACACGCTGCAGCTGCTTCACAAGATGCCTGGCAGTCACCAAAAAGGCAGAACAGTTACCTTCTGACCTGGCGATCCCACGCTGGGGGTGTCTGCCGAGGGGAACTGAAAACACAGGTGTACACACACACACACACACACACCCAACAGTTACACACACACACACACACACACACACACACACACACCCCTGTTTGCTAAGATCAGAGCAGCACTATCCCCATAGCCAACAGGTGAGAAACCAACCCAATGTCCAAAAGCGGATAAAAAAGATAAACAAAATGTGGTCCGGCCACGCAGACCAATAGGAATTAGCCATAAAAAGGAGAAAGTACTGACAGGTGCTACAATGCGGATGGATCTGGAACAGCACATGCCCCGTGAAAGCAGCCAGACGCAAAAGGCCACACACGTACGAATCCACATATGAATCCACAGGTATGAAATGTCCAGAGGAGGCACATCCACAGGCAGAAGCTAGGGGTGGGGGGCCCCGGCCAGCGCAGCGCGGGGTGGAGGGCTGAGGGGTACGGACTTTCTCTGTGGGGAGACAGAAATGTTCCAGGCTTCAACGGCCATGATGGCCACACACCTCTGTGCACAGACCACACTCTGATCAACCTTACACATTAACGGCTGCATCGTACACTACATGAATTATATCTCAAAAAAGCTGTCACGAGAAAAAAAAATTAAGAATGCTGTACGCTAGCTGTGAAATCAAGATTCTGATTAACTGTATTGTTTCCAGGAATAAAACATCATATTTTATGCACCCACAAAAACACAGACACAGATATTAAAGTTGAGAAGACTTTGTGTCTGTGTGAGCGCATCTACGACACACAGCAGAGGGTCTGTGTCCCAGGCCGAGTGACAGGGAAGTAGGGCCTTCCCCTGGGGCCTGGGCCCTGCCTTGGCTTCCCCACAGCTCCTCGCCCAGGGCCCCACCCAGAGACACAGACCGTCTTCCCTGAGCACCCCTGCAGAGCCAGGCAGGAGCTCAGTGGGGCCTGGGGCCAGGCTCTGATGCAGGCCTGACCTCGCACAGTAAGAGGGTAGCATCCAAGAGCAAGGGTCTGCCTTCAAGCCCTTCGCAGGCCTCAGGGTCTGGAAGCCCCGAACACAGGAAGACGGTGGGCACTCAGGTGCTCCCAGCCTCCCCTTGGTCCCGCAGCCGCCTCAGCGCCGCCTCCAGGAGCTCCTCAGCGGCTGCCGGGCCTCTGTTCTCTTTCCTTTGTTTTCTTGGAAGACAGCAGCTTTTATTTTCCTCTCTCGGGAGGCCCGGGTGGGGCAGGGCTCGCGGAGCCTGGCACCAGGCATGTGACCCGGGAGGGCGGGGAAGGCAGCTGGACGCCTGGAGCAGTTTGGGGCGCACGCTCCCCATTCAAATCCCACCTTGAGCCATATGACTTAACCACTGTGACTCACCTTCCCCATCTGTAAAATGGGCATGAGAAGCTTCACCCCCGTCTCCATGAACTGTTCGGCGGGGAACAAGGAAGCACACGCGCGAAGCACTGAAAGCAGCACTGGGGCCGAGCGGGGCGAGGGGTCTCCATCACTGTGGAGGGCCAGGGCTGGGGGGGAGCGATGAGCCACGGGGGACTGGGGACCCTGTGGGGCTGCAACTGGTGCCTCTCTCTGCTAAGCGTCCCCTTTGGCTTCCCCATTATCACCAGGCTGAGATCATCCTTGCTGCCACACTGGGGCTGGAAAGCGAGGGAAGACGGCAGGGTCCCTGCCTGACTGTCACCTTCTCTCTGGCCCATCTCCCTCCCTCCACCCTGCTGCAGGCCTCATTGGCCTCTACTGAGCAGAAGCTCATGAGGCCACAGGGCCTTTGCACTGCCTGTTCCTGCCCACACCTCCCACTACAGGCTCTGATCGCCCTCCTGTGCCACCTCCTCAGAGGCCTCCCTGACTGCTCCGCACATGGGCCCTGCCCCGCACCCCAATCTTCCCATCACCCACTAAGCACGGGAACAGTTGCTCTGCCTCTTTGATGTCCCCGATCTATGCTAGCCACTCTCCCAGAGCGCTTCTGCTCTGGGGTCAGGGCTCACCTGTTCTGGTCCCAGCATCCCTTGCACCTAGAAGGGGGCCTGGCACACACTGGTGCCTGGTGATTTACAGAATAAAGGAGTAAGAGGGAAACTGCTGGATTTCAGGGGCCTGGTGGGCAGAGCTGCACTCTGGCTGCTTGGGGGAAATTTGTCCTAGTGTGTGAGGGCCTGGCACCAGGTGTGTTATGCTTGCAGTGAGCCCGCAGCGGGGACACTGAGGCCCAGGGGAGGGGCTTCCCGAAGTCTCCACCCCACGAGAAAGTGCCAAGGCACCTTCTCTGGAAACTGGGACGGGGAGGGCTGGCAAGCTCAAGGCTTTGCACTCGGGGCCACGATCTCTGGTCGGCAGCCAAGAAAACTCCCAGGTGGAGCTGCGTGCGGAAGGTGACAGAGACTAACGGCAGAACAGGACTCCTCTCTCCAAAGGCTGGCCGGTGGGGGCCAAAACCACACGCGTCTTGGGCCCATCTGGGGCCTCCCGGCTCACCACACCAGGGCCTCCAGGTGGGAGGGAGGGGAGGGGGCAGGAGGCCAGGATCTGTGGTCGTGCGGGGGCCCACCCGTCCGCCAGCCCTTCTGAGAGGCCCCTGGCTGCCAGGGCAGGCTCTGACGCATCTTGTCTGCGCGGCCATGGCCGGGGGGAGGGAGGGGTGGCAGGTGGCCAGCCAGGAAGAGGTCAGTGAGCTGGCCCGTGGCCAGCCCGGCTCTGAGGGCGGGGCGGTCACACAGGGCGTGACAGACCAGGTGTCCTGACTCTCAGCCCAGGGCTGCTGCTCCCCGGGGATCAAATGCTGGACGTTCAGGCAGGAAGAGTGGACGGAGCCAGACCCGGGGGGCATGGGGGGTGCGGAACACGTCCTTGGGTGGGGCTGTTCTGCTGGGGGGGGGCCTGCAGGCCTGTCCAGAGGGATCTGGGGGGGTGTTGAGCCCAGCCCTCCCAGCCCCCTATCTGGCAGGCCACGTGAGCCCAGAACGCACCCTGGAGAGCTGCGTATCAGCGCGGCTGCCCCAGGAGCTCAGCGCTCTTCCCACTACGAGCAGAAACACATGTCTCCGTGACTCGGTCCCCATGGCCAGCAGGGGCAGGGTGGAGAGCGGCCCGCCCTGACCCCATTACCCAGGCTGGACCCGGGCCGTGGGCCCGACCCTCTGCTAGGGTACCGTTTTCCAAGGGCAAGGAGCTCAGGGCTCGGAGCGCCGGCCACAGGGCTGCCCGCCAGACTGTCTTCTCAGCATGGACGGGGGGAGGCTGCCGCTGTGGGCCCCAGGGGCCCCCAGACACAGGACCCCGAGGACGACACGGCTCACTTCCTTCTGTGGAACTTACAAAGACCCAGCGAGCTCTGGGTGAATCTGACTCTTGCATGAAATGTTCCAGAACTTGCTGTTTTAACGTGCCCCAAGGTGAATCATGGGGCAGAGGAAAGGCTCCGCGTGAACTCGGCAATTTGAAAGTCAGATTTTCCTCCCTCTCGCTCTGCCCAGAACTTTTCCGAGAGACGGGAGAGGGGAGACAACAGACCGCACTGTTTTCAGTCAAAATAAAAACGACCCGCCTGCCTCACTAGAACACATTCCTCCGGCGTCCAGATGTGGGTGGGAGTGGGGCCTCCACACCTCTGCCCTCAGCTGCCCGCAGCCGGCCTCGGATCCGGGGTACCAGCTTTGCTTCTGGCTGCGGGTCTCAGGGTCCCCAGGCATCTGTGCCAGAAGTGGCTGAGCTACGGGGCTCGGGGTGACAAGCACCCTGTGTCAGCGGCAGAGACAAGAGTGAGAAGGGGGGAGCGCGTCTCAGAGACGGTGGCATCCAAACAGGACGGTCCAGGGCCCCCCCAGGCTACGCCAGCAGGACAGCAGCCTCAACCGCTCAAGCCGTCGGAGCCAGGCTGGGTTTCTGCACCCAGACCCTCGGTGGGTGGGACGGGAGCCGCCGGCGACCTGCGGATTCTGCGACCACTGGCCTCAGGCAGACCCACGTCACGTCTGCTGGCACGCGATAGCCACCCCCCCTCCCCGGGCCTCCACCCTCCACTCATCGCCCCGCATTGGCAGCCAGCTGCTCTCGGAGCCTAAGTCACAGCCGGCTGAGCAGGGCATTCCCCTGAGAACGGACCACAGCTGACCCTCACTGGCTCTGCCGCTCTGCCTGAAGCACGCAGCCTCCTTCCCACCCCCGGGCCTTGGCACTTGCTGTTCATGCCTTGTTAAGGATGGAATTGTGCCCCCCCCACCCCAAACATGTTCAAGTCCTAACAGCCAGGGACCTGTGAATGTGACCTAATTTGGAAAACAGGCTCTCTGCAGATACGATCGAGTTAAGATGGGGTCACTCGGATGGCCCCGAATCCTATGACGGAGCCCTCACAAGGAAAAGAAATGTGGGTACCCAGACCTGCAGTGAAAACAGCACCCAGACCCAGAGGCAGCAGGAGTGGGGGGGTGGGGGGTGAAAAGCACCGGGCACACCAGGGCCCAGCCGCACCCGCACACTTCCAGCCCCCCGGGGTGCAGTGCTTTGTGCCACAGTCCCGGAAGCCAGCCCCCCGACCTCCCCTCTACTCCCACACCCCTCCCCCCAACCTGGCCCACTCCCCCCAGACCTGCCCCTCCTCCAGCCGGGCTGCGCTCCCTAAGGGCAGGCTCAGAGGTCGCCTCCCGGCATGTCCGCCGCTCACCTGTTCTTGTCACCGCCCTCGGGCTCGTCCACCTCATCTGCGCTGCAAGTGGCACTGGAGTCGCTGTCCTGGGGGGCACCCGCGCCCTTGGTCGTGGGGGCTTTGCCCCCAGGGCCGCTGGCCTCTCTCTTCTCCACCTTGACAGGCCCCTCGGGCGCTGCCTCTGCACTGGCCTCCGGGACTCCCTTGCCCTTGGGGGGCCCATCCTCCGAGGCTTCCTCTTCGCATTCACTCTTGACGGGCTCTGTGGGGGCTGCCTCGGCCGGCTCTGCTGGCTTGCCCACGTCCATGTCCACGTCCACAGACAGCTCCTGGGCCACAGGGGGCTTCTGCTCCTCCTCCTCCACCACCAGGGGGACTGTGGCCACCTCCTCTTCCTTCTCCTCCTTGGGGACCACAGGAGGGGGTGCAGTGGGCGACGGGGGTGCTGGCGGGGGCGGGGGAGGGCCGGTGGCTGAAGGGGTGGGGGCAGGCTCTGCCGGGGCCAGCGCGTCCTCCGGCGGCGGCGTGGGTGGCTCAGGGGCTGGTGCGTCGGCGCTGGGGGCGGGTGGGGGCTTAGGCCCGTTCTGCCCCGAGTCCTTGGCGGCCTCGGCGCGGGGAGAGGGGATGCTCTCGGTGTCAGAACTGTTGTTGACGGTGGCTGCAGGCGGAAGGAGAGGAAGGGTGAGTGGTGCCGGAGGCTCAGGCATGGAGGCAGGTGCGGCCCATCCGGCCCCAGAGCACAAACTCAGGATGTAGCCACCCCATCGCTCGACACCAAAACAGGCCCGAGGCTCCTGCACACCTGGGTACCCCAGCCGATCCCGGGGCCCAGCCACTGGGGTCGCCAGCACCCGTGTGGCCAGGGCTGCGGCCCTTCGCGCTCATCTGCGCTCCGTCCCTGGCTGTGTGCCCGCGGGAAGTCCGGCCGTGGTAATGCATGTTATCTCTGGGCCTCGCCTTCCCCATCTGTAGAGTGGGGACAGCAGATCCCAGCTCACAGGGAGAGCGAGCCAGGAGGTGTGGCAGCACATGGTGACACTTGGTGACTCTTTACTGTTACATCGTCACAACAACGTAAAATGGGCCAGTGAACTCTGAGGAGTCCAAGCAGAAAGGGCAGCACCCCGTCCGTTTCCCAACGGGCCTGGCACACAGCAGGGGCACAGTAAGCGTTCATCAAGCAACTAAATGTGCGTACAGATGAAAGGCGAGGGCAGCTAGGCCCCGACCAGGCTCTTTAGCCTTAAAAATACCACTCCTGTCACTTCTGTGGGTCTCAATTTCCCCCACTTTGTGTAAAAGGGGACATTTGAGAACCCCTGCATTTGCTACTGGGGATTAAAACAATGTAAGAATCACGAATGAAAACACTGGTGAAAATCAAAACGATGGAGCCGAGCTTACAGATGTGCAAGAGTGTATCAGGGAACAGCATGGGGAACAGACGCTGAGCTGGGGAGGGGGACAGAGCAGCAACAGCACAAATGGTGGCGCTCACAGAGGCATGCTCACTTAAGTGGGGCCCTCGCTGAGGACTGAGGGCCTAAGGATGCCCTGTACCCCAGGGCAGCCCTAACCCTATCCCACCCCCAGGCCAGACAGCCACATTCGTACCTGGGCCACCGCATTCCCCTCTGGGCACCTGGTTCCCAGAGGCGTGTAAGGCTGGAAGGAAGGGAGAGAAGGGTTAGAAGCAAGGCAGCAGGAGCAGCAGGCGGGAGAGAGGAGGTGGCCAGGGAGGGGGGCTGGCAGCCCTCGTCTGGGAGCGAGGCCCCCTCTCCCTGTAGACTCACAGGTGACCGCAGCGGCCCCGGCCAATCATGGCTCCCGTCAGTCCCGCCCCCTCCTGGGTGTCTCTGGACAAGTCACGGGCCTTGTCTGGTTCTGTGTCCCCAGGAGCCTGGGGGTGGGGGTGCTGGCCTCAGAGGTGGGCAGGGCTGCGGGCGAGGCCCCCATCCCACGGCGCGGCCACAGAGCCAGGCCGGCAGGAGCTGCCATGACCCTGGACAAAGGTCTTCAGCCTTCGCGATCCCCACTGCGCCCGGCCTCTCCCATTTCCGACTCCCTTCAAGGCCTACCGCACTTCCAGAAATAATCACAGAAACAACAGCAGCACGGGGCCTCTGGGCGCTGAGCTCTGCACGGAGCCCTGCACGCCCATCTCTCATTTCCTCAGCAGGCACCAGCACCGGCACCAGCACCGGATCATCCCATTTGCAGATGAGGAAACTGAGGCACAGCGAGCCTGCGTCCTGTGCCCCAGGCCACACCGCATGGGCGCCAGACAGGGCTGCCCCAGCATCACGTGCCCCAGGCCACCAAGTTCCCGCCCCTGCCTGCTGACCCCAGGAATGTCACTCCTGTCCCCTCGGGTAACAGACATCAGGGCGCAGGACACTAGACCCGAGTCCCCAGAGCACTGGTCTGTTCGTCTACAAAATGGGTGGCTATCGCCAGACCCTCTGCCTTATTGAGAGGCTTCCCCCATGAGGAGTTCTCAGGGCCGGGCGGTGTGCCAGCACAGGGGCCAGTGAACACTCGGATGGCAGGGCCACCCCCAAAGTGCTGCCCGGTCAGTAGGTCCAGGAGGGGCCTGGGCACCTGCACCTCTGACCAGTCTGAACCCTGATCCCCACCTGTGTAGCCCTGGGTGACTGCTCCGTGACTCAGCTCTGTCATCTGTAAACGGGGTGACAGCAGCACCCGTCCCACTGGGTCACTGTGACAGTTCAAGGGATGAACTCTGACTGTGACTGTGACACCGCGATCGCTACAGAGACTCTGAGCAGAGGATGACTCCTGGCTCCCCAGACAGCTCATCTCTGCCTGGATGCAACAGGGCACTTGGGGCTGGCTGGTCTTTCTAGAAGGTTCCACTGGGGCAGCCTCAGGCCCTGACCCAGAACCCATATGACCTCCCCCATCCTGGTCACAAGGGACAGGGTCACACCGCAAATGCTGCCTGGGTTGGTGGATCCCGAGTCTCCCAAGTTACGTGACCTGTGAGAGCGGGTCTCCTCTTCCCGGGCCTCGGTTTCAAGGCTCGTCATGAGATGGGAGTGTCATCCTGCATTTTTGTGAGGGGTTTTCTGTCCTGCTGCGTGTGCTCAGCTGAGAGCTACCAGGTGGTCAGGGCCTCAGCTCTGCCAGACAAGCCCTCCCCCCGCCCCCACCCCTGATGTGGTATGTGAATCCTACAAGTGACGAGGAGCTCACTACCACACAGCTCTCTCACAGGGCACAGTCTGTTCTGGTGCTAATGCTGAGCCAAAGTCTGTCTTCCTTTCACTTTCCCACCAAGACTACCTCCCATCCACACAGACAGCTAGCTGGCAGGATGTTTAAAGAGGGGATTGGGTTTCTGCTTCCTTCTCCCTTTCTGGCTGTAAACCCAGGACCCAGAGCACAATGACCAGAGGGATCTGCAGTCCTCCATCACACACTGGCCAGGCCTCTCACCCACGTGGGCTAGAGAGACCCAGAGCTACTAGCAAGCGGGCCAGACTCAGTCCCCAGAGCCATTCCCAACTTGAGACAATAGTAACCACACAGCACAACTCTCTGTTCTCAACCAGGAAGTAGGGTTGAGGCTGACAGAAGCACTGTGGGCTGCCGGAGCTTGATGCGTCTGCGGGCCTGGCCTGCGGGGCAGGAGGGGACTCGCACCTTCCCTCACCACGCTGGCAGAAACCGGCGGTTTGAACGCAGAGGGAGGCAGGCAGGAGGAACAGGAAGGCACCCTAGGTAGGGGCAGGAGGAAAAAAGTCCTGTTCACCAGGAATGCAAGGGCCCCACTGGGTCAGCTCTGAGCAGGAAGACGACAGGTGAGCCAGAGACATTCAGCTAAGCGGTGGCTGCGGTCCTCAAGGACATCATGCCATGGGGGGCAGGAAATTTATCATCCAAAATGGGGTACTTGGACCATCACCATCATCATCATCACCAGCATCACCAGCATCACCACCACCATCACCACCACCATCACCATCATCACCACGATCGTCATCATCACCATCACCACCACCACCACCATCACCACCACCACCATCATCATCATCACCATCATCACCACCATCATCACCATCACCACCACCATCACCACCACCATCATCATCACCATCATCACCACCACCACCACCATCGCCACCATCACCACCACCACCGCCATCGCTGTCATCATCAATATCACCGTCACCACCATCACCATCACTGTCACTACCATCACCACCACCACCATCACCACCATCACCGTCACCATCAATATCACCATTATTGTCACCACCATCACCACCACTGTCACTACCATCATCACCACCACCACCATCATCATCACCATCGCTGTCATCAATATCACCATTATTGTCACCACCATCACCATCACTGTCACTACTGTCATCACCATGCTCCCCCTTCAAGGCAGTCCAAGCCTCTTTTCAGAAGAACCCAGACATTTCTAGGACAGGTCAGTCTCTGTCCCTCACCTTCAGCCTCCTCTGCCATCTCCTCTTCATTCCCGCTCGCGCCCGACGCCTCCATCTCCTCGTCCTCCACCACAGGCGGGAAGGCAGCCTCCTCACTGGTGGCAGCCGGGGCTTTCTTCTTCTTCCTCCGCGCATTCCTCTCCTTCTCCTAGGGCACAGGAACAGTGGCGTCAGAGCCTGGGCCGCAGCTGTCAGCTCCAGACTCCCTGGGCCTGAGGCCTTGTTTGCCACAGGTGCGAGGGACAGCGACCCTGGCCACGTGGCCACAAGGGACACTTCCCCCCTCATGGCCCGCTCCCACCGCCAGGAGTGCCAGCAGCTGTTTCTCCCGAGGGCTCTCACCTTCCGTGAAGTCCTAGGTGCACGTACAGCGCAGCCTGGCCTATCTGCCGCCCTGACATCCTTCCAGGACAGGCGAGGAAGGACTGTCTCTGCCCAACATCCCCCGATTCCCCGGCCCCTGTGACCATCCCAGCCAAGAGTACCGTGTACTTCAGAGGATACCTGCCAGGCACAGTCACTGTGTGGAACGAACAAATGAGGGAAGCCCTTCCCCGCATGTAGCGTCTGCCCTCACTGAGCCCCGGGAGACAGGGCTGGCTCGGGAAGCCCATCATCCCTCCACTGGTCTCTCCAGGCCCACCCCCTGCACTCCGGGCATGGAGGTTGAGGACCCACGGCAGACGAGGCAGACAGGGTCCCTGCCCAGGATCTTCTGGTCACGGAGACGCCAGGGAGCAGATCACTCCAGACGAGACTCCAAGGCAGGGACTTGGGGCAGGTGGAATCAGACGGGGTAGGGGCTGCAGGGATGTGGAAGGGTCCCCAGAGGAGGTGACCTGTGAGCCAGGCATGCACACTGAGTGGGAGCGGGCCAGCCAGGGCCCGGGGAGGGGGGGCATCAAGGAGGAGGGAACTACGTGCAGACCCCCGAGGCGGGGCCCAGCCGAGGGTTCGAGAACAGCAAGAAGGCTGTCACCGTGAAGCCCTTCACACCCCTCCACTTGGCACCCTGGTCCCTTTGCTCACGGAGCCAGATGCCCATCCTACAGCTGGGGCGCTAACCCCTCCCTCACCAGTGGCTCCTGCCTCTGCCCCTCACTGGGCTGGGCGTCCCACGTGGCCGTCCCTATAGCTCCCATGCTGCGCCCGGCAGAGGCTCAGAGCACGTTTGCTGGCCGACGTCCTGAGTGAGTGAATGGGCAGCGTCTGGCAGAGCTGGGGTATGTGTGGCGGCAGCATGTGCTGGGGTCTCAGGGCGACCAGGGAACCCCAGAGGGGGTGGACTGGTTCCTAAGAGGGGACGACTGTCCCCATACAGCTGGTGTGACAGGAGGGTCCCGGCCTGAGCCCTTTGGGGTCTCCGAGGAAGGGAGGAGACCTTGCAACAATTCTGGACATGCCCACAGCTCTCTGGGGAAGCCCCCCACACCGGGCTGAACGCTGTCCCCCCAGAATCCACGTCCACCCGAACCTCAGACCATGACCTTATTTGGAAACAAGCTCTTTGCACATGGAATGAGTTAAGATGAGGTCATACTAGCTTAGGGTGGGCCCGGAGTCCGACACGACTGGTGGCCGTGTAAGAAGGGAATCTGGACACGGACGCACAAGGGGAGGGATGTGTGTATGAGCCGCAGAACGTCTGCACTGCCACCCCTCCACCCCCCGGGCTGGAGGGCAAGGCAGGCTTCTCCCTGGAGCCTTCGGAGGGAGCATGCCCTACTGACACCTCGCTTTCAGACTCTTGCCTCCAGGATCAGGACGGAATAGATTTCTACTGTTTTAAGTCACCTAGTTTGTGGTGCTTTGTAGCAGGAAACAGGAAACTAATGTGACTCCCCTCCACTGACCCCCAGCCCCCAGAAGAAAGCTGCTCTACCCAAGCGTGATGGGCAGCCCACCCTCGGGGCAAACCTGTCACCCCCAGGCGTCAGCAGGGTCTGGCTGCCCCAGTCCCTCGCCATGGCCAGGCTGGGCATGGGATGGGCCTCGGGGGGGGGGTCCCCAGATCCCAGCCCCAGCCTGGGAGTGGGCTCACTTCCTGTCCTGCCTTCTTCCTGGGCAAGTTGGGGTCCTCTGAGCGAAGCGGCTCAGAACGCAGAGAGGAAAAGGAATACGTCCGTTTGCCCGTTAGTCACCGTTTCCGTCACCAAGAGGCCAGGGCCACAGCCCCACCCTGCCGAATGTCCCCTGGCCACTGGGGGAAAGCCCAGCTCCACCAGCCACCCGCCCCCGGGGCCCCGCCCGGCCCTGCCCCAAACCTCTTCTCCCGGAGACCCGGCTGGAGCCCATGGAGGCACGAGAAAGTTGTGTGGCATGTGGGTTCTGTGGGTGCGGCTGAGGGTTCCCCCTTCTTCACCAATCTATTTTTAGCAGACAGGGACTCACTCGTGTGCTGGGCTGGGCAAGGCATGCGACAGGCCGCCTGGGGGTGGGGGGTGGGGAGGGCTCTGCAACCCTGGGAGCTTCGCGGGGAACACGGGCTCCCGGGGGTCCCGCCAGGGAGCATGCCCTCCTGGGGCCCCGAGGCCTCTCCCGGAGGGTCCGCCGGAGCCGGCAGCCCAGGCAGGATGCATCGGGCCAAGCAGGGCACATATGACATCAGCACTCAAATCCCAACACAGGGTCGGAGGGGCTGGGACTCCCTGATGTCTGAGGAATACACCACACGTGACTCCGCACCCCAGAAGCAGGAGGTGTGTGCGCAACAGATGCTGGCGAAACCCGCACTAGTAATTACAGCTGCTGTTCACTAAGCACCTACTGTGTGCCAAGCGTTTTCCACGCATTGAGTCACGGGATCTGTACAGCTGCTCTGCAAGCCAGAGTATGCCACTCCCTGCTTCAGAGTATGCCACTCCCTGCTTCAAACTCTCCAGGACTCCCCGAAACCCTTGATAGAAAACCCCAAGTCCTCCTCTCTCCATACAGCCCTGCGTGATCTGGATCTGGACCCCACCCACCTCTCCAGTACACTCATCCACCCCTGCCCTCCACAGTCTCCCTGGAACAAACACACTAGCCTCCTTATGCAAACAGACTTCGAGTACCCCAGCCACAGGACCTTTGCACTGGTCATTCCTCTACCTAGACATCGTTCTCCTAGATACTGGCATGACTCACTTCCTCACCTCAAATCACTGCTTCGCTCAGACATCACCTCTTCAGAGAGGCCTTCCCTACTACACTGTCAAAGTCAGCTAGTCCTTGCCCCCCGCCCCCATCAATCACTCTCTATCCCTCATCTTAGCACCTCAGACCATGATCAAAAACTGTGTGTATGTTATTTTGGGTCACAAACCAGAATTAGTTCCTTAAGAGCCAGCCTCTTTGACGAATTAACCTGATAAACAAAGACACTGACTCAGAGTGGCAAAAAAGCTTTCCCAAACTCACACAGCTCCTGGGCTGAGTGGCACAGATTTGAATGCAGGTCAGGCTGAAGCACCTGGTTGTCTGGACCATCTCGTCCCGCAGGCCTATGCAGCCTGGGCAGAACAGCCAACAGAGGTAAACAAGGCAAGGAGGGGCCTGGGCTGAGACAAGATAGACACACGGGAAACACAGAAGCTGAGCCCCAGGGCCTGGATTCACAGATGGGAGAAAAGGGTAACCTTCGGCCAGAAGGAGGGGAGGGAAAACCTCGGAGAAGTCACCAACGCCAAACGTTACATAACTCTGGGACACGCTCCGCCTGCCCACCCCATTTTGCTTCCTGCTGACGTCGCCCCGCGGCTGTGCTCAGGCCAGGCCTGGTGTAAAGCGGGAGGGGACACCCACCGAGCCCCTGCTTCCCTGCTCTTTCCTGCACTGGCCGAGGGTGACGCGTCTTCCTGAGCCCCAGGCGGGGCCTGGCTGGCAGCCAGTGGCTGCGGGACACAAAAGGACCCATCTTCCCCCTGGGGCCCAGACAGTGCCGGGGCGGGGCGGGAGGCGGAGGTCATGGAGTTGAGCAGCATCTTGTGAGGCCTGCTTGCATACCACAGTGACAAGGGACTCACCCCTGCACCATGGGTGGCCCCTGTCAGGATGGACAGACCCAGGCTGAGCCCAACCACCCGTGACGGGTCCCTGCATCTGCTCACTGTGCTCCCCCCACTGCTCCTTCAAGGTCAGCTGGGAACGAGGCAGCTCCACACTCCTGAATCAGCCTTCCTGGCCGATAAGTGGTCGGCAAGGTTCTCCACCTGTTTACGGCCTGCTGACCCTCATCTTCTGGTCCAGAGTACTCGGTCCGCTGCCCACCCAGCACGCACGCCCTCTGCTGAGTCCTGTGTGAGCCATGTCTAGTGGACAGGTCCACGAGGGTACCACCCCCCACTGTGGTCTGCCAGCCTCGGCACCCTGGTGCGGCCTACCCGCCAGGGCGCAGAGCCCGGCGACACGCAGGGCGGCCCCCTCCATCCACTGCAGCCACGCCTCACTGCATCCAGCACAACCCATGGCGAGCCCGCTTCCCGCTGTCCGCTAAAGGACCGCCCAGCGCCTCGGCCAGCTGGAAAAGCCCGCGCGCGTGGCTCACCTGGCACACAGTAGGCGCTTAAGAGAGGCTCACCGCGTGCCCAAGATTGGGGTGTCCGACGTGCCCCACACGCTGACGGAGAGCACTCCTGGCTCCTCACGGCATCCCTGGGGGTGGGTCCTAGTCTCACCTCCGCTTTGCAGAGGGGGAGCCGGGGCACGGAGCACTGAGGCCACGTGCCCGCGGGCACCGCTCCGCTGCCCCCCAGCCCAGAGCCCTGCACTCACCGTCCTGCTAGGCAGCCTTTTCAGACAAACACTGACTGACTGAATCCACCCGACAACTAGCCAACCCGTCAGCCAGTCCAGGGGTGGCCATGCTTCCCATCTGGCTGGCTCCCAGGAAGACGCGAGACCTCAGCCACCGGGCGTCCGGTGGCCACAAGCGCCCCCAAGGCCGCACCTCCCACCAGTGGGGCGGTCAACATGTGCTAGGCCCTGTTTCTCGCCCTTACGTCCATTCGTGAAGATGACCGCCATGGGAGCCCTTTGGGGCAGGCCCTAGTATCGTCCCCACTGCAGAGCTGGGACAACTGAGCACAGAGAGGGCCGGCTGCCTACCCGAGGTCACACAGCTTCTAAGTGACAAGATCTGGATCAGGACCCAGGTCTTCTAGGTCAGAGTCCCTACAATGGCTGTTCCTGCACACGCCTTTAGGAGAGCACCCCAAATGCCCCTGAGAAGGATAGGGGGTCAGTGACTTTAAACTAAAATGCTACCGCTACTACCACTACGACTAGTACTAGCGGTCGGGGCAGTCACCCCTCACAGAGCGCTCCCCTCGGGCAGGCACTCAGCTCTATTCAGGAGGTAATTCATTCAACCTTTGCGTTCTGCGATAAGGGCCACTATTCCCCCCTTTACAGAGGAGGCTGGGGTTTGATGGGATGAAGCTACCACCTAAGGTCACACAGCTGCCAAGTCATCAGGCTGGGACTTGACCCCGCGCTGCACCATCCACCTTGCTGGGGTCTCTGGTCCTGGGGTCTCTGGGGTGCATCAGGACTGTGCCCCAAGGATATCTAGGGGGTGGCCTGTAACCCCATGGCCTGAGCTATGGTCGGGTCTGCGTCCCTGCTGGCTGGGAGGAGCAGGGGCTGGGGGAGGAGGAGGGGAGGGGAGGGGGAGGGGGGAAGAGCAGGAGGAGGTCTTTCTGTGTTTGGAAGGTGTTCGCCCACCCCCCCTCGGGGCCCCCCAGCCCCAGCCGGCATACGCAGGGGCTGCTCGCCCCCCTGGCATGGCCCCTCGCTGCTCCAGCTCAGCCACTCTCCAGCTCTGTCACAGACAGGTCTCCGTGGCCTCAGCCCCCTGACCCCAGGGTGCCCCCTGACCCCGGGGTGGCCCCCTGCAGAAACCAAGGTCCTGAAAAGTCTGGGGAAGCGGAGCCCCTGCGGTACGAGGGCATACTGGGGACCATCTGAACCGGAGGTGGGGGAGGGGACGGTGGTCTGGCCTCACTAGAGGTGACTGGGAGGGGGACGGATGAGAGCCCTGCCCATGGGGACACAATCTACTGTGGCTCCAACGGCCAGCAGCCGCTCCCAGACTCGAGGCAGTAAGATCCCACTCAGGGGGCCGGGGGGCCCTTACATTCCACATGGCACGTGCACGGTTCAAATGGGTGATTCCATCCCTGACCTACCCACCACGCTCTGTGATCTCAAGTCTGTCCACCTCGTGCACCCCAATGGGCTGCATGGCAGAGCGACTCAGCACCGCCCGCAGGAGAGGCTGCCACACCTTACGCCTGGCGCCTGATGTGGGTGTGGGGGGCAGGCGAGGGCATCCCAGGGGGACAGCTCTGTGCCCCCTTCTTACTCCTTCACGTCTACAGGTAAACATGCAGCCCGATGATCATGAGCATGGCTCCCCAGGTCATACACTTGTGGGTCCAAACCCCAAGCCAGCTGAGCCTCAGTCTCCCCAGATCTGAGATTGTGATGGTGCACGGCACGTCAGGGGAAGAAAGGAAAAGAAAGAAAAGACAAGACAGTTGGGAGGGAGGGAGAGGGAAAGAGAGAGAAAAGAGAGAAAGAAGAGAGAGAGAAGGATAGAGAGAGAGAGAAAGCAAAAAGGGAAGAACCCGCCCCCAAACAGCCCTCACTTCACAGGAACAGCTGTGGAGGAAGCGAGTCTCTCCGTAGAGACCTTTTACACGCTCAGCGAGGCGAGCCCGCCCCTTCTGTGCTCCTGGCCTCCCCTCGAGGCCCGAGGGCAGCGGGAGGGCAGCGGGCTGCCTAGAGTCGGGCAGGGCTGAGCCTGCTGCCCCCGATCTGTCCTCTCCTCCCCCCGGGGTAGCCTGAGGACTGTGGGGGAGACGCTCGCTCGGGGCTGTCTGCCTCTGGGCCCTCATTCCGATGAGTTGAGAGCAGCGATCCCCTGGGAGTCAGCGGACCCACCGTGCTCCTTCCCCCAAACCCCCAGAGCCGTCGGACCCAGGAACGCAAGGGGGCGGAGGTGGGGCACCGCAAGGGTGGGCCAGGCACAGGGGGCCATCCCAGTGCCCAGAGGGGATTTCTGTCCCGGGTCATCCCTGCAGCTGACCCACGGGAAGCACTAAGCAGGAGGCGCTGGGTCCCGGGAAGGCAGCCATGGGAGGCAGGCAGGGGGAGGGTGGGGAGGGCACTCACCATCTTCAGCTTGTGCTGCTGCAGGATTTCATCCAGGTTCTGCCTCTTCTTGTAGTTGAAGTAGAAGTTCTTACACTGAGACACGGTCTTGGAGCCCACCATCCGCGCGATGGCCGACCAGTTCCGGCCGTGTTCCAGAAGGCCTGTGCAGGGCAGGGCGGCAGGTAAGGGGCGGCAGGGACTCCGATGCCAGGCATGAGGCTCCCTGCTTGGGCCCGAGACTCAGGAAGGAGACACAGCAGGGCTGGGGGGTGCCAGAGAGGTGGGGGCCGGGGCTCCAGGAACCCGGAGGGGCGGGGGGGGGGCTTGCCCTGGGTGCACCCGTGCCAAGGCCGCCGTCAAGGGTTCTGGGGGCACAGACCCCGCCCGGGCTCCCACCTCCCTCTCCGGCTCTGGCCGTTGTGACCCAGCACTGACACCCCCTCACAGCTGCAGACAGGCCTCAGGCCTCGGGAGACAGGGCTGTTTTCCGGCCGCACCGGGCCAGGGCCAGGGAAAAGGAAGGAACGCGAGAGCAGGGAGGGAGGGTGGGGTCCGGGTAGGTGTAACCGATGCCAGGAGCTCTTCACCGAGGCTAACTGGGGCACATCCAGGGCCCAGCATGGACCTGGGGCCCACGTGGCTAGTTCAGGCGCTGGGAGTACCCCGGCCCCTGTCTCTGCAAGCTTCTCAAAGCTGCCCACACTCCGGAGACAGGAGAAGCCCCCAGGAACTGGCAGACCCCGCCCCGGGCCACTTGGGTCAGGAAAGTTCTCTCCAGCCTTGCAAACCCAGGCCAGAGCTGTACCCGCCCCGCCCCCCACACCCCCACGCCCTCCGGTTTCAAAACCGTCAGCACCAGGCTCAGCAGAGACGTGGCCCCTGCACGCGGGACGCACTGGGAGGCCCGGCCTCATGTCCCAGTCCCTCTGCGTGCGGAGCTCCTGGCACACATGGCCCGTCTCCCCGCAGGCCCCTCGCGGCCAGGGCAGCCTGAGCGGGGCGGGCAGGAGGCGGGTGGCAGACCCCAAGGGCGGCGAGCACCAAGCCTGACTCACAGGCCGGGAGCACAGCAGCCTCCGAGCCCCAGGGCTAGACTTTTAACGGCCAATGAAAGATTTCCCATCACGAAGTTTGAGGCCATTTCTCCTGAACAAACCCAGCTGCAAGCAAGGAAGTGAACACTGGAATTTTGCAGGGGTGCAGGGTCCTGAGGGCCCAACAGACAGCACACCAGCATTTTCCGGCGTTGGTTCACCTATGCATCCATCCACCCATGCACCCAGCCACCCGTCCATCCACCTAGCAACCCAGCCACGCATCCACCCCGATGCATGCCAACAGCCCGCTACGTACAAGCCTCTAACAAAAATAAAATTGCAACGAGAACAACGTCAACAAACCACTGCGTCACGTGGCCGAGTGGCCCGGAGTTTGCAAAGCCCTTCAAAGACGCGGCTCTGTCTCAGCCCTGCTGCTGAGGCCACGGCCTCTTTCTCATCCCCGGGTGGGGGAAACGGGCTCGAGGGGTCACAGCCACACACAACCTTCCGGGCACGGGCCAAGGGGCAGAGCGGGAGTGTGGACCCGGCGGGCCGGAGGCGGTGCCCGACCGACAAGCCACCTGCTCCACGGCGGAGGCTCCAGGCCACGTGGCCCCACAGCGGCTCCTCGGGGTTCCTCAAGGACAGGCGCGGAGGGGGGGCTGGGGCATGGGATCGAGTGCAGCCCGCCCCCTGACCTTTCCCGCCCCTGCACCAGCAGCAGCTGCCACTTCCACAGGGCCTGGCGGAGGACGACGGGACGCGAGTTTATTTATATTTCCCCAGCCGGGGCCAAGAGAGCCCAGGCAAACACGTCGGGCCGGAACCCTGGGCGGGAGAGGGCGGGTCTCCCATCTGGGACTGCTGGGGGGGGGGGGGACGGCGAGGGCCCAGGGGGCAGCCAGACCCCTGGGAGGTCGACATTCCCAAACTCAACACGTAAGTAAGAAGGCAGCCCGTGGGCTGGCAGGGGCTGAGGGTCCTAATGAGCTTCCCTGGTGGCAGCAGCAGTAGCAGGGGTTGGGGAGGGTGGCGGGGTCACCCAGTGCTCCCCAAAAGCTGGCAGTGGCTCACGAAGGAGCAGTGGACACACTGCTGACTCGAAAGTGCTGGGCCATATGAGCCGCCCCCTCTGTTCTCTGCGCCTGGGTTTCCCAACTGCTATGTGAGAGGCTGGGGTGCGTGTCCTCAGATCGCTGGCCAGGGGGCCCCCTTCTGGTTCCTATTCCCCAGGTGGAGGGTGCCGGGCACAGGGACAAGCACTTTCGACCTCACCGTGCCTTAGAGACCACCTAACCAGACCCGGCTGAAAGCCCCCACAGCGCCCATCTACCAGAGAGAGCCCCTCTGAGCATGCGCTAACCGAGACCCCCACCCCCCACCCTGGACCTGCACCAAGCATACCGGGGTCCTGCCCTCCCTCCCCAAGAGCTCCAGCTTGACAGCCAGGAAGGCAGGGGGAAGGGGCCCAAGAGAAAGGGTGGGGATGGGGTCCCACGGGTGCAAAACTCCCTAGTCCCCTGCCTGGTGGCCACAGCCAAGTCCCTGTCCCCAGTACCCGCAGCAGCCCCCAAGCCCCTCCTGGGGCCTCACTCACATCCTCTCATCTGTGTCTCCCCCTCGGCCAAGTTTTCCGGAAACATACGGCTTGGAGGATGCTCCCGGGAGGAGCTGGGAGGCGGGAGGCTAGGCGGCCGCGGTGCCGGCTCCGCGCGGCTGTGGCTGGCGTCTGCTCCGCTCGGCTCTGCCTCACATCCTTCTGTCCAAAGGCGGCGGCAGGAGGGGGAGGGAGGAGGGCGGGCGGAGGCTGGCTGGGAGGAGGGCGGGGAGAGCTGCGCCACACCGCCCGCCCCCGGTGGCCCGGGGCTCCCACCAGCGGCTTGGCGCGGCCAGTCCTGACACCGTGCCCCCGCCCCCCCCCCGCCCGCAGCTGAGGGTGTGCGAGGTGCCCTTCCCGCTGGGGGTGGGTGGTGGGAAGTTGTCAGTTGTGTGCTCGCGCCCCGTGCCAGGCGTCACCAGGGCGCATGGTGTCGGAGGCTCCTCCAGGCACACGTGCACTCTGAAGGGACGCACAGCAAGGGGTGCAGGCCAGCCCCCCGCCAAAGACGCCCCTGGTGGGCGGGGTCCACAGAGCCCAGGCGGTGGGGGCAGCAGCGCCCTGAGCAGCCTCACTGCGCTCCGCTCCGGGGCTCGATCTCCCTGCTGCCTGACCCAGCGAGACGCGTCGTCAGGGCTGAATGTGACCTCCAGACGGAGGCTCGAGGGAGCAGGCGGGCGGGGGAGCATGGCAGAAGCCCAGGTTCAGAAGGGGCGGGCCAACTTGGCACCGGCATCCCCCCTCCCTCTCTCCCCATCCCTGGCGGTGGCGGCGTCAGCAGCGGTAAGAACAGATGAGGGTTCAGAAAAACAGCTTCTCCACCCCGGCAGACAGGGAGCAAACAGCCTCTTCCGCTGTCATTCCACTGCGCCAGTGCCACCTGCAGTCTGCCCCCCGCCCCTCCTGCTGCTGCCACGGCCGGCCGGGTCCTCCGTGGGACACCCCGGAGGCCCTGGGGCGCAGGAAGGGGGCCATGCACGCCTTCCTGCACCCGCTGCTCTGTGGGTGGGCGGGCCTGGCTCAGAATTCCAGGAGGAGGCTGTTCAGAGCGCAAAGGAGACCCCCGATCACTGAGGGCAGGGGAAGGGTCGGAGTCCCCAAGACGGCCCTCTGCTGCCCAAGGGTCTTAGGACCACAGCTGCCTTCCCCCCCATCTCTGGAGTGCCCCTAGCAACCAGAGCTGCCCCCCCAACACACACACCTGCTAGAGGTGTCGTGGGCGGCTCCCGGGAGGTTGAAAGTTAACGGGGCTGAACTTTGGAGCCGGATCCTGGTCATGACCGATTTCTCCAACTCGAGGGTCACTGACCTGCCTGTCGCTTTAGCCCTCAGCCTCTACATCCTGGCCACAGAAACCCAAGGAACAGCAGGCAGCCCTGAAGCACATGTGTGCCCAGCCCTCATACTGGGATCTCAACCATGTCCAGGATCTAGGACCTTCTGCCTCACTCCATGCCCTGGGGGGTAGTCCCTCACTCCATGCCCTGCGTGGGAGGTCCAAGTGAGCTTTTAAGAACGCCAATCCAGTCGCTTCCCTCCTCTACCTAAAAATCTTCTGATGACGACCCAAACCTCTCAGAATAAAACCCAAAGGCCTTAGTGTGGCATGAGGCCCTGCAGAAACAGCCCTGCCCACCAGCCCACCTGCTTCCTACCTCTCCCCTGCTCCCCCTCTCCGGCCACTGGAACCTTCCACGCCCAGCCCTCGAGTGAGACCCAGGGCATTTGTACTAGCTGTTTTCTCTGCCTGCAGGGCTTTTTCACAGCCCTGTCTGTCTCTGTCTTCCTCTGCTCAAGTGAGACCTCCCCAGAGAAGCCTTCCTTGACTGGTCTGCCTAAAGCCACTCCCCCAGCCACCCTTGGACCGTGTTCCCTCCAGGGCACCACCTCTCCCGAAATTAGCACCTTGCCTCCACTGCTCACTGACCATCCTGCCTCCACACCTGCTACTGTCAGGCAGAGGGAGGCACTTGGCAAATGAATGCAGCTCCAGACAGTGGGAGAGTCTGGGTGTGGGGGCCCACGGGATGCCCCATGCCGTCTCTGCCACTTCTCGTCGGCTCCTGGCAAGGAGCTCCTGAGAGGGGGGGGCTGAACGTGTACCCCAGCAGTGTGTCCTGGACCCTCGCTAGATGAGGGCGCCCACCTCTCACGCCCAGGGGCACCCCACAGGCCTATGCCCAGATGGTGGGCTGTGCCCACGGCCCCTGTGGTCTGGATTCCCCAACCCCACTTCTAATTTCTAAGGAAAGAGTTTCATTCTGAAAAGTCAGGAGGCAGGAACTAGGAAGTGAAATTGACCAAGACAGGAAGTCAAGCCAGGAGGTCTGAGTCACACACTTGGAGCTCTGAACGAGACGAAGCGGTGGGTGGCTGTAGGGGATGCGGCTCAGCATCATGGCCGGCGGGCAGCGCAGAAGGGGGTTGGGGGGAGGATTCGGTGGGGAGGGCTTGGCCTGGCCACTGACTGCTCTTGGCCAACCTCAGGGGAAGCTTCCCATGTACCATACAGGGGCCTGTGAGG